CGCGCAATGGTTTTTGAACGCAGCCATTACGTGGTCGTGATGGCGCAGCTATTGATGACGCGTGTGGTGTGGTTGGCTAGACATGCCTACTAATTCGGTCCAAATTTTAATTAATTCATAAAAAATTAATTAGGCATCCGATTAAGTCAAATTTAGTTTCAGATTGCATTGTCTTCATGTTATGACCCACGTGCTAACTTTGAATCGTATCGGTCAAGTAGAACTGTCCGAATTTTCACTCCTGCGTTTCCGTCTAGACTGACGACAGACAGAGGAAGTGAGTTAAATAAAAGCTTGTAAAAAAATTCATAAAAAACGTTTTAATAACAAGCTTTTATGTAATGATGCACTAAAAAGTAGAAAATAAATTATAGACTACTATTTAAATAACTATAAAGAAAAGCGTGGGTCACTTTAGTATCTATTGGATACCTTTACTAATGTTAAGGAAGACACCCACGCTTTTCTTTATAGTTATTTAAATAGTAGTCTATAATTTATTTTCTACTTTTTAGTGCATCATTACATAAAAGCTTGTTATTAAAACGTTTTTTATGAATTTTTTTTTCAGTACTTTACATGTTTTATTTACAATAGAGTTACATGACTAAAAACCATTGCTCGCCTACTGAACATCACGTTCAGTAGGCGCGCAATGGTTTTTGAACGCAGCCATTACGTGGTCGTGATGGCGCAGCTATTGATGACGCGTGTGGTGTGGTTGGCTAGACATGCCTACTAATTCGGTCCAAATTTTAATTAATTCATAAAAAATCAATTAGGCATCCAATTAAGTCAAATTTAGTTTCAGATTGCATTGTCTTCATGTCTTGACCCACGTGCCAACTGTGAATCGTGTCGGTCAAGTAGAACTGTCCGAATTTTCACTCCTGCGTTTCTATCTAGACAGACTGTCGACAGACTGACGACAGAGGAAGTGAGTTAAATAAAAGCTTGTAAAAAGAACGGTTTGTTAGAGGAAAATTTTAATATCTTACAAAATTAATTTTTTTGTGTAATTTTTAAAATGATTTTTTAAAAATTTGAATGATTTTCTTTACAAAGAATTCTAACCCTTTGAACAACGTTTTTAACAATTAAAGTACAGCCAAACCCATCTGCTAATTTGTAGATACATATGTTCGTAACATACATTGGCCATTTCAAGTATTTCTGGCAGAACTGTGCAAAAAGGTTTTCATATTGAATGTAGGTTTCAGGATGTTACATCAGGAATCTTAGATGGTGGTTTTAAAAATAGGGCAGGGCAGTTATGTGAGTGTTATTATAAATTGTAAATTTATATTAGTTGTATTTCAATAGCAAATATAGGTGCGCTGGCACTAGTATTTTGCCTTAGCTTATGACCCTTTATGTTTAGGGATCGTAAAAATAAATAAATAAATAAATGCAGCATTGACAATGATTTAATATGTGGTATGATCCAATGGTTAGCTGGTTATCGTGATGACCAAGCTCGTCTTGGTTCGGCCACTTCATAGTATCTTCTGGTTTAGCAAAAACTTCCAAAACAAGAAACAGTTGCAGCAACAAAAAAAAAAAAGAGGCTGAGTAGGCCTAAACAATTTGAAGATGATACAGTGAAGGTAATGGAGGTTAGGTTAGCCTGTCGCACCTTTGGGGGGACATAGGTAGTTGACAAGATATTTCCGGGCGTCTCTTTCCTGGGCTAGTCGCATTCGTGCAAGTGTCCATTCGGGCGTTTGTCGCATTCGGGCGTTTGTCGCACTCGGGCAAGTGTCTATTCAGAAAAACGACCTTCGGGCAAACGGCATTCTGGCAAGTGTCTTTCGGGAATTAGCCGTAAACTCCTCCAACTGCCCCCGGGTGTATCTTCTTGGTATATTTTTTTTTCAGATTGCGTTTCTGTGTCTTCCTTTGTCAGCCTCTTTTCCTTTTGCCCTGTTAATTTTAGATGGCGGAGGCCAGACAGTAATGTATGGGAGATGGTTAAAACCACCGCTTACCTGACAAGTATGATTGACAGTATAATACAGTTTAATTTACCCCCCCCCCATACCACCCAATAAAGTGCACTGACCTTTGTCAGCTGTTAAACAAGAATCACTGACCTTCTTCATAGCGTAGCCAGGCATTGGTCAGATCCAGTTCCTGTAACTCCTGTTGCTCTCCCAGGAGGGAGATGATGAGGTTGACCAGGTCTGGCTCGGGCCTGGTGGGGTAAACAACCCTGTCAGAGTAGTGCTTGAGGTACGCGATATTTTTCAGGGAGATCGTTCTAAGTTTGATGCATCTACCCTGAAGCAGACTGGCCACAAACTCGTACACGACCTCTGTCCCCGGGGGTGTACGGGGGCCACGATGCTCCGTGTCAGTGTCATAGAGTTTCTCTGTAATGAACGGTGGTTTGGACATTTTTTTTCTCCGGGTGGGGGGAAGGCACTTGAAACTTTCCAAGGGGGGGGTTGACTTAAATTTCAGGAAGGAGCGGGGCTCTGGTTAAAATATACATTTTTACACACATTATTTATTTTCTTTTTTGTTCGGGGGAGGAGTAGGAAGGACGCGCTTTTTAGGGGGGGGGGGAGGGTTCCCAAAGAGATGCCTGAAAGAAACTCTGGTAATGAAGAAAACAAAAAGTCAAAATCTTTTAGCTTATACACAAAATCTATTAGCTTATACAAGGTCGGTGACTTTAAAAAAAAATATGAATAGAAACATAAACAAGACCAACGTGAACAGTCAGCGTAGATGTGACGTAACCATTTCCCTCGTGTCCTTGCAAACAACAGCGCCCTCTTGTCGTCATCCGACTGTAACAGGAAATGTCCCGTGGTAAACAAGGCAGGTACGTCTAAGATTGGAACCCACGCCTTACACGTCATGGCTGCGTTAAACTTGTCCTTGTTGCTGAGGTTCTTAAAGATGTCAATTAGGATTTGAAACGGCAGTTGGGTCCAAACACTTTCTGTGGACTGGATGGGAAAATGGGTACATAAGCTTTCCACGTCACATAGCAACAAAAAAAAAAGTTGGATAATTGCGACTTGGACATCTAAACACGAAACCTGGGCAGCAAAATAAGAAAAGGCAGATGTATCTGGTCCACTCTCTCCACACAGCTCCAAGTGACAGAAAGTTACCTATACAACCTGGCATCAACAGTACCGCAGGAACTGCCGATTTGAATCCAGAGTTGGTAATCTCATTGCCTAAACCTAAGGGACACTACTCATCTATGATTTCAATAATCTCTCCCCCGCTAATCAATCTCATCTGCCCGAGGGTTTGAACTTGGGACATTAAGAGTTTACAACCATGTGTTTACTGGCCCTGCATCTCTGACCCCTAGTAATATCTTACCCTGCGTCCTAGCCTTAACTATTAAATTTTAATAAAATGAAAAAAAAAATGCCGTTTCCAAAGGGGACGCATTGACGCAAACGTTTTGGAATACCAAGAATCAAGATAATTACCGGATAACAGCATAGCACACACATGACAATGGTCCTTATTAAACAGTAAATCTAATCTTGTATTTTAAAACTGATAACAGATATGGATTGCAAGAAACAATAACAGATGTTCATAATGAAACAAAAATGCAACCAGCCTTAAAATAAAGTTTTAAATGTCCATGCTATTGCACATTTGATTGCGCATTTTCTATTACAGATCTATTTTTTAAAACTTTAACTATTTTTAAAACTAAAGTAGAAGTCGAAACGGCTAGTCAAAGATTAAATAAAGAAAAAAAAAGAATGAATACAGTTTTTAGGACAAGCTTTTATGTATCTAATAAAGTACTAATGATTGCGTTCTTCTCGTGCCAGCTGGCGTATCGATCTAGTCCACCATTTTACTGGCATCGAATTTAAATATCAATCTTGATTGATTCTGCGTTGTTTTGTGCATAGGAAGCGTCGATGGACTTAATAATAATAATAATGGTCTTAAAAACATTTTTAAAATATGGTCACTTACCATAAATATATCACGTTCGCCCATTTTCCCCCACAATTTACTAGAATTTTATTTTCAAATTGGTTTTTCAGTTTTTCTTGCTGATTTCACAGCCACCATGTTAGATTTAGGAAGTGACGCCCTGCACATGTTTTTATGACGTTTATCACTTTGCGACTTTTCTTCGCGGCTAAAACACTAAAGGCAAAATTTAGTCAAACATCTTAGAAGCGCCAATGTTGTTCTTAACATTAACTGTACCTCTATCTGCGACGTATTACATTTATTTTCGTTTTTTTTTTACTTTCTTGCTTACAGATTATAGAGAAAGTATTATAATCTTGAAAAATAATGGGAGTCAAAATTTTGAGGACGAAATTTCATTTGTAATAAGTAGATCTTATAGATAGGATTCTATCAAGACTTTTGAGCGATTTCAAATGACCGAAAATAGTACCTTACTATATTTCAGGTTTCTAAAATATTGAAAACTCTAGTGCCGTTACAATTTCGCAGAAGAAATTTTATATATAATTAGTAGAGCATATTTGTATGCCTACAATTTTTGGGAGATTTCCGATAAACGGAAATAACACTTTGTGGTATTTCTGAATTTTCAAAAGTCTTTATAAAAAAATGATGAAGCAGCATATTTTAAGAACATTCATCCTGTATTTTTTTAAAAAAACGAATTTATATTACGCAAAAGTATTGATATATACGCAAGGTTTCAAATAACTATTGTTGCATGGCCTATGTTGTACAAAAATATTGGTAAATACACAAGGTTGTACAGAACTATTGTTGTATGTTCTATGCTTCACTAAGTGAATTCATTAAAACAAACTTGTAAATGATGAAAAATGTGACCGGAAAAAAACTATCATTACAAGGTTTCAACGAAATGAACTAAAACAAAATATTTAAAAAAAAAACAGCAACTGGTAAACTCTGATTAATAATATCGTAACATTGGAAAAAACTGAAGTTAAAAATTGAAAGGAAACAATTTAAAATAAAAACCAGAATTTTCAAAATGTATTTTAGCGATTTAATTTATTTTGTTTAAGGTATTTTTACTATCCGTATTTATTATTTACATGCTGATGTCTCTTTGAATGCGTCAATGCCTCCTAAAACCTCAAAACTGTGACTGCAATCGAATGACAGTTTACCTCGCTCCAGATAATTTCTGACCGTTTAAGGTAACCGCATATGTTGCTCTGTGGTTCTCTACGGCCTCTGAGATAGCATTTTTGTATTCCTGTTGGTCGGTCTTTAAATCACAGGGCAAGTCTAGAGCAAACGACTTGAGCCTCTCACTCGCCTGTAATCTGTTTATATATATATATATATATATATATATATATATATATATATATATATATATATATATATATATATATATATATATACACTAAGTAAAGTTGGCCTATTTCCACTAACTGAACAATATCACCAAAAAAGCAGGCTTTCGTCTACACTACCCTTTCCAACAAACTTCAGCCAGGTTAATCGATTACGATTCGATTCTATTTACTTTTCGCTATATATATATATGTATATATATATATATATATATGTATATATATATACACCTAGCCAAATATGTCAACAATTCGATGTATGGCTTTAGGGTTGTTGGTGTAAGTTAAAAACATAAAAAAAATCAACGCTGGACACTCTACAACAAAGTAAGAGGAAGTCTATCTCCGAAACCACGTTGTTGGTCTAATTATAGTACGCACTATGGCGTCATGACGTCACGTAGTCTGCTACTACCAGATAGGAAATGGGATCAGAAACAAAATGAAATTATTCCCATCATTAGAGTGCATTTATAGCAAACTACACGTACACAGTGACACGCATCCTAAGCACTCACGAAACACAACCAGGACAACCAACTCACTTTTGGAAAAGTTCTCCAATAGCTTCTTTGTCTAGGCGAACTTCTGATGTCAGTTCGAGGTGATGGAGCGTGGTCTTTAAAAAATACAACACCCGTAATTATTAATAAGTTTAAGATTAAATTTCCGTGTCAAGTCATATGGCGGGTGCTTAAGAAAGGTGTACTGATGTCAAATTACCTAGTGTACATAAGTGTCAAGTCTTAAGGTTAATGCTTAGCTTTTGTCAAATTAACTTTTTACACGCACTAGCTAGGGTAGGCCTTTGGTGATGTATGCAGTAATGGTTTTGTAGTTGTGCAAACCGAATAAAGTTGATTATTTATTTTTACACTATTTTTAATAAACTTGAAAAACCGCTACTAATTATCACAGTGACATTCATTTTAATCAGAAACAGTAAAAAGCGCATCAAATGTAAATAAACACACATTTAAAAAAAAAATCTGTTCCGAATATTTCAAGATAAAAATCATAAAGTATTCTGTATTGTTTGCTGTGATGTGCGCAAGTGCAAAAATAATAATTAATAAACCGGGAGTGATCTCCCCTAAACTTTCTCGAATATTCTTATATAAAATAACAGGGGATGGGAACTCGGGCTATAGACATGATTTTTAATCCATTTTAAATACTTAAAGTTTTAAAAATAGAATAAAATCTCGTAGACAAATTAATTGCACACCAAGTGAACGCCAAATAAAAAAGCGCATAATAGTGCGCAATATTATTATTACTTTTAAAATTTACATTAGTTTTGTGAGAAATCGGTATTAGCGTAAATTACTACTTCCAGTCAACGGAAATGACTCAAAATTTAATAGAAGGTTGAGAATTAGATCTTTTACTTACATATGAAATTTCGTTTATCTATCTGAAATAGTACTCAAGTTATAGGCTTTTGAAAAACTGAAAGTATTAACGGTACTCAAGTTATCGTGTTTACACACGGACACACAGACAGACAGACACACAGACAGACACACTGCTGAAAAGACTAACCTTAAAGTTACTGGCGATGTATTCGAAGCATTTGATTATGTTCTTGACAGCGACAAGGAGTCCCGAATCCCAGTGTAACGCGTGCAGGGGCATCGATCGCGTCAAAACAATCATGGGTATGGTGTCTTTGTATGACTCCTAGATAAAACAGAGTCTTACGTGGTAGGTTAATGACTTGGAATATCATGCAGTTGGTTCATTATAGGGCTGGTAAGCAGGTCACCAACCAGTTGGTGACCTGCTTACCAGCCCTAAAGTAACAGATGCTACAATATCGGTTATAGTTAGAAGGAATAGATGGCTGAGGTAGATTTTAATTGACGTTAATTATTAGGGCTACTCTACCATCGGGTAGTTTTTAAACGTTAATTTATCTCTTTAATGTGCTGTTACTTTAGAAATTATAAAGTCGAGTTATTTTATCGTTAAAGTATCCCTTTGATATTCTGTTAATTCAGAAATTATAAATTCAGGTTATTTTTTTACCGTTAAAGTATCCTTTAATATTCTGTTACTCCAGAAATTATAAAGTCGGATTATTTTTAAATGTTAAAGAATCTCTTAAATAATCTGTTACCTCGGAGCGACTTTTAGATTTGATAAAAAAAATCACTTTTAGATCTGGGATGTGGGCTGTGATCTGCTTCCATGCCCCTGACGAGGTCATGCTCACGACATTAGCTGTGTATGTGGCCCGAACCTTTAACACTCGCAGTGGCAGGCCGCCGATTGACGCCCTACTGAGATCATACAAGAACTCGCAACTCAGACAGATATAGCCGAGTTCAAGCTCTGAAACATGCAAATTATTACGTGAGGTTCCAGTGAGCAGAGGCGTAGCAACCCATTCCGGCGCCCGGGGCGAACTATCAATTTTACTCCCCCCCCCCCATATGTTTATCCACGTTAGCGAAAAAGTACCCCCCCCCACACACACACATCAGTCACCGTTAATAACTTTTTCACGTATCACACAAGCAACGTAGAAAGCCGTCCGTAGAACCAAGTAGCTTTCTATTTTCTTAAAATCGACAGTAATGCAGCTCGGAATAAGGTTGTTATTTTATTTTTCAAACCAATTTGTCGCCTCTTTAAGGTCGGCGCCCGGGGCGGTTGCCCTACTCGCCCTCCCCTAGGTTCGCCTCTGCCAGCGAGTTGCGCTGTACAAGGTTTGAAAGCAGGCGTCTTTAAAAGTGTATAGCGATATTGATGAAGTGTAATTTCAACAGCAAGGGTGGACTCAGTTACACGGCATTTTTTAACTGGACAGGATCCAAGCCCACCGCTCCACGCAGCGCCGAATCGCCTCGCTTACCGTGCAACTAGTCAGAAGTGGAATCACTACGACCAATTCGCTCTACGTCGCTATTAAGCAACCACTTTCACATATGGAAACTTGAATGAAATTTGTAAACTTGTATTTACATTCAGGTTTTCTTTCAGAATTTTTTTCTTCGGAGTGGGAAGGGGGGGGGGGGGCACCTGAAATTTTCGGAGGGGGGGACGACTAAATTTTCCGGGAAAGGGGGCGGACTATCGTTAAAATATATATTGTCTATCTAAATTCTATTTCGTTCGACTCGTTAGACGTTTTTCGCCACCCCCCCCCTCCCCCTCCCGAAGAAATGATTGGGAAAAAAACTACTAGTTTACATAAAACTCAATGTAAAGTAGAGTGCTACTCCTAACACCGGAATTTGACCGGTTACTTCCCATTTTAAAAGAGGGGGGATTAATTCAGGCATCAGCAAATATTTCTCTCTTAAAATAAAAACAGAAATAGTTTTTGGAAAGGATCATGAAAAATTAATACATATAAACAAAAACTAGATGCATAAAAACGTACCCGTCAAATTTTTAAACGAAAAGAGAGCGGAATAAAATTCACTTAAATCCGAGTTGCTGTAGATTACTGCCACAAACCTATCCACGGCAAGTTTGCGGAGAGTTCTCGCGCAGGTTGAGCTGGCCTCTTCCAAGAGATGGCAGCCTGCAAAAGGGTTTCAATTATTAGAGCTGGATTGGCGCTTAAGGGGGAAGGGCGGGGGCGGGCGGTAGTGAAAACAAGTTTTATCAAATTATAAGATACATGCTTTTTTTTTAAAATTGTATTAAATTTAAAATACTTTCAACATTATAACACTGTATTTATTTTGGGCCAATTTATACATGTTTAGAGAAATTTGGGGTAAAATTGAACAATTTTTAGGTACACAGTAGAAACAAAATAAATTTAAAAAATAACTAAAAACAATGCAAAATAACTTTGCACATTCCTAGTAGACATGACAAAAGAACGGTTTGTTAGAGGAAAATTTTAATATCTTACAAAATTAATTTTTTTGTATAATTTTTAAAATGAATTTTTTAAAATTTGAATGATTTTCTTTACAAAGAATTCTAACCCTTTGAACAACGTTTTTAACAATTAAAGTACAGCCAAACCCATCTGCTAATTTGTAGATACATATGTTCGTAACATACATTGGCCATTTCAAGTATTTCTGGCAGAACTGTGCAAAAAGGTTTTCATATTGAATGTAGGTTTCAGGATGTTACATCAGGAATCTTAGATGGTGGTTTTAAAAATAGGGCAGGGCAGTTATGTGAGTGTTATTATAAATTGTAAATTTATATTAGTTGTATTTCAATAGCAAATATAGGTGCGCTGGCACTAGTATTTTGCCTTAGCTTATGACCCTTTATGTTTAGGGATCGTAAAAATAAATAAATAAATAAATGCAGCATTGACAATGATTTAATATGTGGTATGATCCAATGGTTAGCTGGTTATCGTGATGACCAAGCTCGTCTTGGTTCGGCCACTTCATAAGATCTTCTGGTTTAGCAAAAACTTCCAAAACAAGAAACAGTTGCAGCAACAAAAAAAAAAGAGGCTAAGTAGGCATAAACAATTGGAAGATGATACAGTGAAGGTAATGGAGGTTAGGCTAGCCTGTCGCACCTTTGGGGGGACATAGGTAGTTGACAAGATATTTCCGGGCGTCTCTTTCCTGGGCTAGTCGCATTCGTGCAAGTGTCCATTCGGGCGTTTGTCGCATTCGGGCGTTTGTCGCACTCGGGCAAGTGTCTATTTGGAAAAACGACCTTCGGGCAAACGGCATTCTGGCAAGTGTCTTTCGGGAATTAGCCGTAAACCCCTCCAACTGCCCCCCCGTGTATCTTCTTGGTATATTTTTTTCAGATTGCGTCTCTGTGTCTTCCTTTGTCAGCCTCTTTTCCTTTTGCCCTGTTGATTTTAGATGGCGGGGGCTAGACAGTAATGTACGGGAGATGGTTAAAACCACCGCTTACCTGACAAGTATGCTATTCAGTATAATACAGTGTAATTTACCCCCCCCCCTACCACCCAATAAAGTGCACTGACCTTAGTCAGCTGTTGAACAAGAATCACTGACCTTCATCATAGCGTAGCCAGGCATTGGTCAGATCCAGTTCCTGTAACTCCTGTTGCTCTCCCAGGAGGGAGATTATGAGGTTGACCAGGTCTGGCTCGGGCCTGGTGGGGTAATCAACCCTGTCATAGTAGTGCTTGGGGTACGCGATATTTTTCAGGGAGATCGTTCTAAGTTTGATGCATCTACCCTGAAGCAGACTGGCCACAAACTCGTTCACAACCTCTGTCCCCGGGGGTGTACTGGGGCCACTTTGTGGTGTGTCATCGAGTTTCTCTGTAATGAACGGTGGTTTGGACATTTTTTTCTCCGGGTGGGGGGAAGGCACTTGAAACTTTCAAAGGGGGGGGGGGGGGAATTGACTTAAATTTCAGGAAGGAGCGGGGCTCTGGTTAAAATATACATTTTTCACACATTATTTATTTTCTTTTTTGTTCGGGAGAGGAGTAGGATGGGCGCGCTTTTTAGGGGGGGGGGGGGGGGTTCCCGAAGAGATGCCTGAAAGAAACTCTGGTAATGAAGAAAACAAAAAGTCAAAATCTATTAGCTTATACACAAAATCTATTAGCTTATACAAGGTCGATGACTTAAAAAAAAATATGAATAGAAAGAATAACAAGACCAACGTGAACAATCAGCGTAGACGTGACGTAGCCATTTTCCTCGTGTCCTTGCAAACAACAGCGCCCTCTTGTCGTCATCCAACGGGAACAGAAAATGTCCAGTGGTAAACAAGGCAGGTACGTCTAAGATTGGAACCCACGCTTTACACGTCATGGCCGCATTAAACTTGTCCCGGTTGCTCAGGTTCTTAAAGATGTCAATTAGGATTTGAAACGGCAGCTGGGTCCAAACACTTTCTGTGGACTGGATGGGAAAATGGGTACATAAGCTTTCCATGCCACATAGCAACAAAAAAGCATTGTATAGTTGCGGCTTTGACATCGAAGCACAAAGCCTGGGCAGCAAAATAAGAAAAGGCAGATGTTGCCTATGTACCTGGTCCACTCTCTCTACACAGCTCCAAGTGACAGAACGTTACCTATACAACCTGGCATCAACAGTGTCGCAGGAGCTGCCGAAAGGAATCCAGAGTTGGTAATCTCACTGCCTAAACCTAAGGGACACTACTCATCTTTGATTTCGATAATCTCTCCCCGGCTAATCAATCTCATCTGCCCGAGGGTTTGAACTTGGGACATTAAGAGTTTACAACCATGTGATTACTCGCCCGGCCACTCTGACCCCTAGTAACATCCTGCGTCCTAATCTTAACTATTAAATTTTAATTAAATGAAAAAAAAATGCCGTTTCCAAAGGGGGTCGCAATGACGCAAACGTTTTTGGAATACCAAGAATCAAAATAATTACCGGATAACAGTACAACCCACAAAAAAAACAATGGTCCTTATTAAACAGATATGGGTTGCAAGAAACGATAACAGATGTTTGTAATGAAACAAAAATGAAACCAGCCTTAAACTAAAGTTTTAAATATCCCTGCTATTGCAAATTTAATTACATATTTTCTAAAACTATTATATACCTATTTTATAAAACTTTAATTTAACTATTTTAAAAATTAAAGTAAAAGTCGAAACGGCTAGTCAAAGATTGAATAAAGAAAAAAGAATGCATACAAAACGTTTTAAGGACAAGCGTTTATGTAATAAAGTACTAATGATTGGGTCCTTCACGTGCCAGCTGGCGTATAGATCTAGATCTAGATCTAGATCTAGTCAACCATTTTAATGGCGTCGAATTTAGATCTCAATCTTGATTGATTCTGCGTTGTTTTGTGCATAGATGGCCTTAATAATAATAATGGTCATAAAAACATTTTAAAAATATGGTCACCTACCATAAATATATCACGATCGCCCATTTTACCCCCACACTTTACTATGATTTATCTTCAAACTTTAAGTTTTTCAGTTTTTCTTGCTGATTTCACAGCCACCATGTTAGATTTAGGAAGTGACGCTCTGCACATGTTTTTATGACGTTTATCACTTTGCGACTTTTCTTCAATTCAAAAACACTAAAGGCATAATTTATTTAAACATCTTAGAAGCCAATGTCGTTCTTTACATTAAATCTGTACCTCTATCTGCGTCGTATTAAATTTGTTTTCGTATTATTATTTTTTTTACTTTCTTGTTTACAAGGCATAGAGTAGAGAAAGTATTATAATCTTGTAAAAAAAATATGAGTCAAAATTTTAAAAATTTGCAATCTTGATTGTAAATTTGTGTGTGCAAACGAGATACCCTGAGGCTAGAGGACATATTTTCATTTGTAATAAGTAGATCTTATAGATAGGCTCCTATCAAGAATCATTAACGATTTAAAATGACCGGAAATGGTACTTTACTATATTTTAGGTTACTAAAATATTGAAAACTCTAGTACCGTTTTAATTTGGAAGACGAAATTTTATATATAATTAGTAGAGCATATTTGTATGCTTACATCTTTAGGGAGATTTCCGGTAAACGGAAATAATACTTTGTGGTATTTCTGAATTTTCAAAAGCTTTTATAAAAAAATATTATGAAGCAGCATATTCTAAGAACATTCACCCTGTAGTTTTCTAAAAAAAATAATTTATATTAAGCAGGGGCGTAGTGGGGGGGGGGGGGGTGCGGAGCGCACCGGGTGACACCATTTAGGGGATGACACCAAGGCAAAAAATAGCAAAATATATAGAGAAAAACTTGAGGGGGGGTGCAAATCGAAAGTTTGAGGGGGGGGGGGGGGGAGGGTGCAAATCGAAAACTTGAGGGGGGATGCAAATCAAAAGTTTGAGGGGGGGGGTGCAAATCGTAAACTTGAAAGTTTGTCCCCGGGAAGGGTCGCAACGCCTCTGGGGGGGGGTGACACCATTAAGTGCCGCACCGCGTGACACCCGACCTCGCTACGCCACTGATCTTAAGCAAAATTATTGATATATACGCAAGGTTTTAAATAACTATTGTTGCGTGACCTATGCTGTATAAAAATATTGGTATATATACCCAAGGTTGTGCATAACTATTGTTGCATGCACTATGCTTCACTAAGTGCATTCATTAAGACAAACTTGTAATTGATGAAAAATGTGACAGAAACAAATTGTCACTACAAAGTTTCAAAGATATGAGATAAAACAAAAAGATATTTAAAAAAACCGGGTAAACACTGATTAAAATAAGCAGCTCAAATAAAACAAACTGGTAATTTTAGTTTAGTTAATATCGTAATATTGGAAAAAAACTTAAGTTATATGCAATAAAAAAAAGTAAATAAACAATTTAAAATAAAAAACCAGAATTTCCCAAATGTATTTTAGCGATTTGATTTATTTTGTTTAAGGTGTTTTTATTATCCGTGTTTATTGTTTACACATTGATGTCTCTATGAATGCATCCATGCCTCCTACAACCTCAAAACTGTGACTGCAATTGAATGACGGTTTACCTCGCTTCAGATAACTTCTGACCGTTTAAGGTGACCGCATATGTTGCTCTGTAATTGTTTACGGCCTCCGAGATAGCATTTTTGTATTCCTGTTGGTCGGTCTTTAAATCACAGGGCAAGTCTAGAGCAAACTTCTTGAGCCTCTCACTCGTCTGTAATCTGTGAAAGATAATATATATATATATATATATATATATATATATATATATATATATATATATATATATATATATATATATATATATATATATATATATCCCTAGCCCAATATTTCAACAATTCGATGCATGGCTCTGGGATTGTAGGTGTAAGTCAGAGGTCGGCAACCTGCGGCTCGCGAGCCGCATGCGGCTCTTCTGATGTCAAGTTGCGGCTCTTCGGCTCCATGCACAAATATTAATAATTTTTTTTATGTTATTTTCAAAACTCATCAAATTATTGTTCTGCAACACTTGGTAATGAATTAAATAATAATAAATTTAAACAATAAACACTCGCTATTCTATTGGAATATTTAGGTACATCCTATTTTCAATGTACTTCTTATTAAATTGTTTATCCCGCATTGAAACATTCAACTATATGGTGGATATGACAAAGAAACTAAATTAGCTAAATGTAAAACTGCAAGGAAAGGAAAACTCAGCCCATGCCTTGCTTGAGAAGATGATGTTTCGAAAATAAATTACTTTTTTTGTTGAAAACACGGAGAGCGGTAGATTACTTGATTTCGAAAAAACTGAAAAAAAATTCATGAAACCAATGCAACGATTAGCATGAATTAAAAACGACTCATTTGTGGAGAGGGATATTCACAGAACTCAAGAGTAAGTAAAAATAGAAGAAGGTCCAGTAAAACATGCATGTTACGCTGCACAACTGGACAGCTGTAAAAGAAATATCGCGAGTTGAGGCACTCATACGTGACGCATGGGATAGATTTGTAGGATGGTACAGTAATGTGGAGAAGTTGACATCTGGAGTGCTGATGATCATTAGGTCAAGATATTCGTGCTAGCAAGTGTTCTCTTACATGAATACAACAAAAAGTTAAGTAAGAAACCAACTACCTAATAAAAATCTAGAGTCGTGCTTGAAACTTAAAACAAGAAGTTATGAGCCAGATATAAACAAACTTTCAAACGGCATGAAAGCTCAGTGCTCCCATTGATGTAATTAATGTAAATATTCAATTATTATAGCTATATTATTGGATTACTAATTTTATAATTTTATTTTTTTAGCAGAGCTATTAAAATACTATAATATGTATTGTGCGAAACATGTGTATTTATAAAAAAATATGAATTAATATGATTTCATATTTAAAGCTATATATTATATTATATATATATATATATATATATATATATATATATATATATATATATATATATATATATATATAGATATATATGCATATATATCTAATCCTAAATATTGAACAAAAACGTTTGTGGCTCTTTAAGAACTGGTCAATTTTGTAAATTGCATATTTTGGCTCTTCCGTCGGAAAAGGTTGTCGACCCCTGGTGTAAGTTAAAAACATGAAATTATTCCCATCATTAGAGCATTTATAACAACTTACACGAAGACAGTGACACGCATCCTAAGCACTCATGAAACACAACCAGGGCAACCAACTCACCTTTGGAAAAGTTCTCCAATGGCTTCTTTGTCTAGGCGAACTTCTGATGTCAATTTGAGCTGATGGAGCGTGGTCTTTAAAAAATACAACACCCGTAATTATTAATTAGTTTAAGATTAAATGTCTATGTCATGGCATAGGGTGGGTGCTTAAGAACAGAGTTTCTTCAGGCATCTCTTCGGGGGGGGGGGGGCCAAAGAAGGTCTACCCCCCACCCCGAAAGAAATGGAATTTATATAGAAAATATAAACTTTTAACAGTATCCACCTACCCCCCCCCCCCCCCGGAGAAAAAAGTCTGGAAGAAACACTGCTTAAGAAAGGTATACTGATGTCAAATTACCTAGCGTACATAAGTGTCAAGTCTTAAGGTCAGTGCTTAGCTTTAGTCAAATTAACTTGTTACACGCACTAGCTAGGGTAGGCCTTTGTTGCTGTATGTAGTAGTGGTGTAAACCGAATAAAATTGATTATTTATTTTTACACAATTTTTTAATGAACTTGAAAACCCGTTACTATTTATCACAGTGACATTTTTTAAATCAGAAACAGAAAAAGCGCATCCAAAGTAAATAAACACACATTTAAAAGAAAATCTGATCCAAATATTTCAAGATGAAAATCAAAAATATTCTGTATTGTTAACTGTGATGTGCGCAAGAAAAAAAAATAATAAATTAACCGGGAGTGATATCCCATAAACTTTCTCGAATATTTGTGTATAAAACATCAGGGGATGGCAACTCGGGAAATAGACATGATTTTTAATCAATTTTTAATTACTTAAACTTTTTAAAATAGAATAGAATCTCGTAGAAAAAAAGAATTGCACACCAAGTAAATGCAAAACAAAATGTGCATAATAGTGCGGTATATTATTAGTACTTTTTAAATTACGTTTTCTGAGAAATCGGAAATAAAGTAAATTGCTACTTCCAGTCAACGGAAAACACTCAAAATTTGATACAAGGCAGAGAATTAGATCTTTTACTTACATGTGAAATTTCATCATCTATCTAAATTAAGACTCAATTTATAGGCTTTTGAAAAACTTAAAGTAGAAAAAGTTCCACTTCCGGTTATCGAAAATCGCTTTTTGTTGATACGGATCTACAAATCTATATATATCTCTATATATAATTCTCTTCTGGGAGACGTTAGAAAACAAGCTGCAAGCGCGCCTTGCAGTCCTCTCTCTTCCTCTCTATCGCTACCACCCCACCCCCCCCCCACCCCCAGCCCCTCACGTGGTCAGGTGAGCTGTGGTTCACGGTAAATGTTTACATGTTACAATCGTAGAGCCGGGTTTAGTGACGGCTATTAAGGACAAATAATTTAGTTTGAAACGATTTTAAACTTAGAGGAGGTAACTAAGAGGAGGCTGCTTTCACGGGGGGGGGGGGAGGGGGAGGCGGGTTTAGTGTTTTAAAGCAAATATTTTCAGTGGCAACATTGGTACTGTCGAATTCACAAATTATGAATTACTGAAAAGTAGAAAATAAAACAACTAAAAAGCGGCGTATGATACGCCAGTAGTATATCAGGTCCCTTTTGGGTAGTATGGTGGTGGTTGAGCCGGATGCGCAAAGGTTATATAGTAAAATACTCCACCACCTGGCCGAGGGTGGTGGTTCGGAGGTAAAATGACATATAGTAAAATACTCCACCACCGGGTGGTGGTGGTGGAGAGGGGTGGTGGTGGTGGTGGAGGAGAGGGGGAGTAATGGCGGGGTGGAGGAGAGGGGTGCGCTAATGTGTACAAAAATAGAAAGTTCTTTGTGCCCCGACTTCCAACATCCATTAACGACAGCTGTTACTCGTTAACGACACCTGGCACGCATCGATCAGCCAGCGAAGTTTTTCCTTTTGACAGGGACCGGGCCGTGATAAATGGGTTTTCTCGCTCGGTTTGACAGCTCAGGTTGATTAATGGTGGTTTACTGAATGCATTTGAAAAGCGAACACCATAGGGGGTATGGTGATTAATGGGAATCCACTAAGTGCTTCTCCGCGAAGCATTTGCCAACATGCGACAGATGGCGCCGCACTTTGGCTGACCAACCGTATAAATGAACGCGAAAATTTTGTTCTAAACCACTTCGACTTCAGACTCCAAACCAAGCATCACCGTTATTTATCCAGCCTGAGACCGCCGTTGACCCGCGAGACTAAACCCACGCCAGCTTAGGACTCAAGCAACACATCTATCTAACCCTCCACGGACCGCCTACTTTGTGTATGTGTTTACGGAACCTTAGCAATTAACATTAAAGGTAAGGTAAATATTACTTTTGTTTTAAAGGCCCTAACCCCCATTAAAATAACCTTTAAATAAATCTTATTAAAATAAGTAGTCACTTATTTACTTTACTTTTATAGTGCACACCGAGGTAAGGTCAATATTACGCTTGTTTTAAGGGAGCTAACCCCACTAAGTAAAATACCCTTTAAATAAATCTTATTAAATAAGTAGTCACATATATTCCTTTTTAGTGTACAACAGCTCCATCGACACAGCCGATCCATCCATTGAACCATTGAGCTACCTACCCAGTCGATCAACCTACATCCAACTACATCAATACGGCTCGTTCAAACCAAATCGTAGGTAAGTTTAATTTTTAATTTAGTTTTGTTTTAAGTATCCCCACATAAGTTTTTAAAGTTGACAAATGTTTTTATTTTATTTTATGTAATTACTTTAATTTTTATTTTTTATTCTACAGCCAGCCACCTACCCACTCATCCAACCGATTCAACCACTAGAATAAGATGCAACCCACCCAAACAACCACCCACCCAGCCATGACCCGTAACAAGTGTGACATATGCGACCGGGTATTCACCCGCAGCAACGATTTGACAAGACATCACGACTCTGCACACGGACGACAAAGACATTCGTGTTCAACTTGCGGGAAAGTATTTACACTACTTTCCAATTTAACGAGACACTACAAGAAAGCGCACAGCAACCAAACATCACCAAGCGACACTCCATCAGCAACCGACAGACAAACCGACCAACCCACATTAGCGACCGACAAACAAACTATCCAACCCCCATCAGCGACCCAAACCGATCGAACCGCTTCCAACACTAGCCCCTTAAAGCAGGGGTCTCCAAACTACGGCCCGCGGGCCGGATGCGGCCCGCGAGGTCATTTTATCCGGCCCGCGACGATCTTTTTGTCCACTGAATAAATGTTTGTTGGATGTGGCTGCAGAGCTTTGCCCACAAATTCAAAACTATTTGAATGTAGCTTTGTGTGCAAATACAATTACTCGCCGTGTTTCAGACATTGGTGAAAATATTGCGACTGATAGCGAAAAATTCAAGCAAGTTTCGCCATTTTCCAATTGCAATGGATGAGTCGGTGGACAGCTGTTTCACCTCTCAACTTCTTTTGTTCATTAGAGGTGTGGATGCAGACCTGAACATAATACAAGAGCTGGCTTGCCTACATAGAATGTATGACACTTTTACCGAAGAGGATATCTACAGTGTTTCTTCCAGACTTTTTTCTCCGGGGGGGGGGGGGGGGAGGGGGCACTTGAAATTTTCGGGGTTCGGACAAAATTTTCCAGGTGGCGTCACTGTTTAACGTATATATTTTCTATATAAATTCCATTTCGTTCGGGGGGGGGGGGGGGGGCGGATATCTAACCATACATAGTTCAGAGACAAACAGAAAATCGCAATTTACCATATTTCACATCAGTAAGATTGCTAATTTTGCGAGAAAATTCTGTGTAGAGTATCTAAGAAAAGAAATAGGTGACTTCCTGTTGTAAAGGAAAGTCACAGCCATTATTGTCTGGTGAAGAGAGGGTATAGAAATTGGCCTCTGCTGCAGACATAACTTGTCATTTAAATTTTCTTAACCTAAAACGGCAAGAGAGGGAAATCTAGTTTCTGATCTATACACCCACCTAAAGGCCTTTAGATACAAACTTGTCATGTTTTTGGAACAAGTACAGGCTAACAACTTGACGCATTTTCAGCAGTGCAAGGTCTTTACGGCTGCAGTTTCAGTAGCGGTTTTCTGACTTGGACTCAAAAGCAGAAGAAGTGAGACTGTTTTAAAGCCTATTTGTAGCAAATGTGACCAGTTGCAAAGATAAACTGCAGCTAGAGGTCATTGAATTGCAAGAAAATGACTTCCTTAGAGACACTTTCAAAGAAGGGAGGATGGGTTTTTATAAGTTTTTGCACAAGGAAGACTTTCCTAACATTAAAACTTTTGCATCAAAGTACCTTTCAAATTTTCGAACAACATATCTGTGTGACAAACATTTTCAAGAATGAAATACGTGAAGAACAATTTGAGAGCAAACGTGGACCTCGGGTGGGGTGTGGGAGTGGACACTTGAAATTTGTATATATTTCTATATAAATTATTCTTCGTTGGGGGAGGGGGGAGGGGTGGTAGACGTTCTTCGGGGGGGGGGGGGGGGCACCACGACCCTGAAGAGATGCCTTAAAGAAACTCTGGCCCCCGAACTGATATTTGATAGTTAATGCGGCCCTCGGGCTGAAAAGTTTGGAGACCCCTGCCTTAAAGCGACAAAGGTCATATGACGACATAGCAAACAACAAACGCGTAAAGACTAACAACGACAGTAACCTTAATTCACACACCGATATTTTTCCTGTAGATGACCTAAGGGGAGATGCGGTAGACTTACACACGACCACAGACAAAGCTTTACCTACATCCTTCTTACAGACATTCCTGACTTTATTAAACATAATCACTCCATTAACATGTTACAAAAGGATTCAAATTCAAAATCCTACACAGACAATTTAATTTCTCCTTTTTTAGATGTTTAACCAGACATTACATAGCACCCGTAAAAGATCTTAGAATTCCAACATTAAATCTCGCGAAACAGTGGCAAGCGCACCAAGGTCTCGGGACCTTGTCTAATTTTAGTGGGGTTAGTTTGGTCGAAATCCCCCTCTTAGAGTCCTGTTTTAGTTTAAACATAGACATTTTTGAATTTAACGAAAATCTGGTCCTTTCTCCGAAACTTAGAAGTAGTGATAGGTTTAGGGAGACCGTGTATCTTTTATTTTTTTCAAAATCAGTTTATGTACATTAATAATATAGGTGGGGCGGGTCACTCTTTCGCGTGTTCTATGTGTAAAAAATTATGGCCCACCGTTAAACAATTGAACAGACACGTGAAAGATCGTAATGGGGGCAAATCTGTAGATAGGTATAAGGGGGGGGGGGGGGCTTAATAACACACAGAAAACAATCTGGGAGTTTTTAGCGTCATACGGGGTAGATGTAGATAGTAACTTTGTTTATCCCTTCTGAGCAACTTATGATTTCGAATGTTATTTCGACCATACCAATTTACCCACGTTAGGTAGAGTTACAATAAAATACTTAAAAAAAACTTTTTAAAAAACCACGTTTTTCTTGTAGACTAAAAAGTAGAAAATAACTATTTACATACATTTGATGACAAAAAAACGTGGGTACGTTCACCATCAAATTTCCCGACCCATCTGCCCGACCCACGTTTTTTGTCATCAAATGTATGTAAATAGTTATTTTCTACTTTTTAGTCCACAAGAAAAACGTGGTTTTTTAAAAAGTTTTTTTTAAGTATTTTATTTTCTCCTTTTTAGTCCGTTGCTACACATGAAAAACGTGTTTTTTAAAAAAAGTTTTTTATATAGTTTATTTTCTACTTTATCCAATGACTTGATTAAGTATGAATTGACTAAGTGTTTATAAATACACGGACTAAAAAAAACTTGAGCGACCAGGATTCGAACCTGGGTTGTCGCGGCCAGCGCGCTCACATCGATTGGGGCCGAAGTAACTGTGTCAATAAGCCTCCAGTCTTGTCGGTATCTTTAGAAATCATGTCCTCAATTTTATGGTCCTTGGGGCGTAATTAAATTAAGCTAATTACGGTCTCTAATTGCTAGTTTTTATGATTGCATCTGAAATTGTTAGGCAAAAGTAACCTGCATGCCAAATTTCAGATCTATAGAGCAATCAGAAGTGGGCTAATTTTCGATGTCAATTTTAACAACAAACACACAAACGCGAAGCTGAGTTAATAATAAAAAATACTTAAAAAAAACTTTTTAAAAAACCACGTTTTTCTTGTGGACTAAAAAGTAGAAAATAACTATTTACATACATTTGATGACAAAAAAACGTGGGTACGTTCACCATCAAATTTCCCGACCCATCTGCCCGACCCACGTTTTTTGTCATCAAATGTATGTAAATAGTTATTTTCTACTTTTTAGTCCACAAGAAAAACGTGGTTTTTTAAAAAGTTTTTTTTAAGTATTTTATTTTCTCCTTTTTAGTCCGTTGCTACACATGAAAAACGTTGTTTTTAAAAAGTTTTTAATATAGTTTATTTTCTACTTTATCTAATCACTTGATTAAGTATGACTTGACTAAGTGTTTTTAAATACACGGACTAAAAAAATCTTGAGCGACCGATACGCTTTAAACAGAGAAAGGGTGTAATTTACGTTGCTGGCGTGGAGATCTACTCACGAATCCCGTGATCAAATCTCCCATAAACAAACAAATAAACGCGAAGCTGAGTTAAGGAAAAACGTGTTTATGTGTATTTTAGCATGCCCAGCGTACCAACCGTGTCACCGTTAACAATGTGTTAAAGTGTCCGTTCTCCTTTTTAGTCCGTTGTTTTTTTTTTTAAAGTTTTTTTTAAGTATTTTATTTTCTCCTTTTTAGTCCGTTGCTACACATGAAAAACGTGGTTTTTAAAAAAGTGTTTATAAATACACGGACTAAAAATCTTGAGCGACCAGGATTCGAACCTGGGTTGTCGAGGCCACAACGCGAAGTACTAACCACTATACGATCACGGCCAGCGCGCTCACATCGATTGGGGCCGAAGTAACTGTGTCAATAGGCCTCCAGTCTTGTCGGTATCTTTAGAAATCATGTCCTCAATTTTATGGTCCTTGGGGCGTAATTAAATTAAGCTAATTACGGTCACTAATTGCTAGTTTTTATGATTGCATCTGAAATTGTTAGGCGAAAGTAGCATGCATGCCAAATTTCAGGTCTCTAGAGCAATCAGAAGTGGGCTAATTTTCGATGTCAATTTTAACAACAAACATCCAAACAACCAAACAAACAAACGCGAAGCTGAGTTAAGAAAAACGTGTTAAAAACGTGTTAAAAAAGCGTAGCCAAGCAAGGTTCTTTGTCTTGCTCTGTGGCCTCAAACGTAGATGGGTTCGTCGAACCCATCTGTTTTATTTTGACTGGTGACCCCCAAGAGCTAGTGACTAGAGTTATTGACAGACTGCACACAATCGCCGAGGGAGCTTATGGAATATTTAGAAAACAGTTCGATCCTATTTTTAAGCAAATCAGGAAGCTATTTCCACCTAAATCTAGGGGTAGCGATAATAAGTCGAACGACAAAGGGTTTGAAAGGTTTCTTAGCGGTAGATTAGAACAGTATTTGCGACAAATGCCGGTTATAGGGTTTAATTCAGGAAAATATGATACAAATCTCGTTAAACCGTATTTCATTCAGTACTTTTTAGCTTATTCAAATACAGAAGAAGGGTTAGAAGAGGGAACTAGTTGTAACGATGATGAAGAAGACGTAGAAGATAAACAAACACCGTTTAAATATGTAGTTAAAAGAAATAATAATTTCATGTGTATATCAAATAAATTAAAGTTTTTAATACCAAACGGTCACTAGATTGGAATCCCCAAGGAAAGAGGAAAATAGATAGGCCAAAACAAACATGGAAAAGATCAGCTCTCCGTGAAGCGGTCGGAATGACGTAGGCCCAGCTTGGATGAATCGCCCAGAGCGGAGGACAAAGGAGAGGTAGGGTTGCGTCCCTATGCTCCACATATGGTCAACATGATGATGATAATGATGACGACAATGATGATGATGATGATAATGATGACGACAATGATGACGATGATGATAATGATGACGACAATGATGATGATGTAGATGGTTGTTGTTGCTGATGATGATGATGTTGATGATGATGATGATGACGATAATGATGATGATGTAGATGGTTGTTGGTGATGATGATGATGTTGATGGTGATGATGATGTAGATGGTTGTTGGTGATGATGATGATGTTGGTGATGATGATGATAGTGATGATGATGTAGATGGTTGTTGTTGGTGGTGATGATGATGATGATGGTGATGATGTAGATGGTTGTTGGTGATGATGATGATGGTGATAATGATGATGGTGATGATGATGATGTAGATGGTTGTTGGTGATGATGATGATGATGATGTTGATGGTGATGATGATGATGAATCCACAGCACTAGCACCTAAAAATGCATCAGTAATTTATGTGTAATTTCTATTATTATTTCAATGCCCCGAAACCGCTGACATGACTAACCTTAAAGTTACAGGAGATGTACTCGAAGCATTTGATTATGTTCTTGACAGCGATAAAACGTCCCGAATTCCATAGTAACCTGTGCAGGGGCATCGATCGCGTCAAAACAATCATGGGTACGGTATCCTCGTAGGACTCCTGAATGAAACAGTTTTACGTGATAGGACAATGACTTGGTCGGTTCATTATAGTAACAGATGCTACAATATCGGTTATATTTAGAAGGAATATATGGCTGAAGTAGCTTTTAATTGACGTTAATTATTAGGGCTTCTCTAGTCTCGGGTAGTTGAATTTAAATAATCTCTTTAATATTCTGCTACTCCAGACATTATAAAGTCGAGTTATTTTTTAACGTTAAAGTATTCTTTAATATTCTGCCACTCCAGACATTATAAAGTCGAGTTATTTTTTAACGTTAAAGTATTCTTTAATATTCTGTTACCTCGGAGCGACTTTTAGGTTTGATAAAAAAAATCACTTTGAGATCTGGAATGGCGGCTGCTATCTTCTTCCAGGTCGCACTCGAGTTTGGGCGCACGACATTAGCTGTGTATGTGGCCCGAACCTTTAAAACTCGAAGTCGCAGGCCGCCGATTGACGCCTCCCTGAGATCATACAAGAACTCGCAGCTCACACATTCATAGTCAAGTTCCAGCTCTGAAAGACACAGATTATGACGTGAGGTTCCAGCGTAGTGCGCTGTAGAAGGTTTGAAAGCAGGCGTCTTTCCTGTTGTGGAACACTTTTGATGAAGTGTGTAATTTCAACAGCAAGGGTAGACTCAGTTACACGGCATTTTTACCTGGACAGGATCCGAACCCACCACTCCACGCTGCACCTTCTTCTTTTTTTTTCGTTCTTAATTTTTAGTGTTGGAAGGGATCGAGCCTTATCTGCCAGAGGGTTTGAACTCAAGACTTTTTTTTTCGAATTTATCAACCATGAGCTTTTTGCCAACTCGACCACGCCTCCATCACAATTAAGGATACGTGTCAACTGCTTATGCGCCATCGAGGCCATTGACTCCGATTTCAGCCTGCTTTTCTTTTTGGATTTGCTTCCATAGCCTTTGTCCAACCAAGAACACAAGGCAGCAGTTGTTTGATTTTGGAGTTGTCTCTCCTAGAAGAGTGGCTGTCCCCAGCTAACGAGCCCGAGGGTTCGAACTCGAGACTTTTCGGTTTACCGACTCGACCACGCTGCACCGAATCGCCTCGCTTAGCAAGCATCTGGTCAGAAGTGCAATCATTACGACCAATTAGCTCTACATCACTATTAAGCAACCACATTCACATATGAACACTTGAATGAAATTTGTAAACTGTATTTACATCCGGTGTTTCATGCATACTTTTATCTTCGGAGTAGGGGGTGGATGGGGGGGCACTTGAAATTTTTGGGTGGTAGGGGGCGGACTAAAATTTCCAGGGAAGGGGGGTGGACACTCGTAAATTTATATATTTTCTATGTAAATTCTATTTCGTTCGGCGTGGGGGTGGGGGGGGGGGGGAGGCGGTAGAGTTTTTTCGCCCTCTACCCCCCCCCCCCCCCACTCGAAGAGGTGCCTGGAAGAAACTCTACATCCAGGACAGCAACGGGTATGGGCTACTAGTTTATATAAAACTCAATGTAACGGAGAGTGCTACTCCTAACAACTGGATTTAAATGGTTACTTCCAAACAAAAGTGCGGGGATCAATTCAGGCATCAGCAAATATTTCTCTCTTATTCTCCAAGAAATGCTCCATCGTATGAGAACAACGTGAACGAATACGGATCTAGACGACCTCCGTAGTATACAATTTATACATTTTGTAACTACTCGAAACACGTCAACCGCTCTCAGATATAACAAACTTGAAACATAGTTTGAAAACCTGCCAAGAATTTAAAAAAAAAATTACTACTTTCACTTTTTTAGAAATGTAAACTTTCCTATTTCTGTAGTTTGGGATTTTGAGATAAATGATTAGTTCACTAAAATATAAAACATTGTATATTGCGGTGACTTTTGCTCAATAGCCATGTAAATAAAAAAAACAATGCCATCGAATACGAGTTTTTTTTTTAAAAAAACACATTGTCCATTATATTAACCAGATGCACATCAAAACTTGATGGGCTAAAGAACAGAACTCAACACTTCGCGATTGTCCTCGGTTTCTGCCCCTCGGCTACGATTTTCCCAAATTCATGATTTTTTCCCGACAGACAACTCTGTTTTCCCTTGTTTGATAAAAACAATCGTAAATACAATCAGATTCGGTGTTATATTCTCATCATACAACTTTACACAATGATTTCAAAATTCACATGTGAAAAAAAAACAACGACATAAATAATTTTTGGAAAGGATCATGAAAAATTAATACATACATATAAAAAAAAAACTAGATGAATAAAAACTTACCAGTCAATTTTTTAAACGAAAATAGAGCTGAATGAAAATCACTTAAATCCGAGTCGCTGTACGTTACTGCCACAAACCTATCCACGGCAAGTCTGCGCAGAGTTTTCGCGCAGGTTGAGCTGGCCTCTTCCAAGAGACGGCAGCCTGCAAAAAGGTTTCATTTATTAGAGCTGTTTGGCGCTTACTTACGTCAGGACTGTGCAAAAAAAGTTTTCCTTTTGAATATAGGTTTCGTGATGCTACATCAGGAATCTTCCGGGCCGGCGCTACCTATAAGGCGAACCAGGCGGTCGCCTAAGGCGCTGTCCGTATGGGGGGGGGGGGCGCAAAAATGTGAAATCGCAATTATTTAAAAGTACCTAATAATTTATAACTTTGATTAGATTACGTTAACTATATACAAAGGCTTAGTGATCTATTTAGGTGCCCAGGACGAACTATCAATTTTGCGCCCCATCTTCAAATTAGACCTATAATTAAGTATTCGCGTTGTTGAAAATGCGCCCCCACCTCCCTTATTTGAAAAGGTCGGGGTGCTTTTTAGCAATCGTTTCTTCTCGACTTTTCTCTCTGTGAGGGGGGGGGGGGGGGGGCACTTGAAATTTTTAGGGGGTGGGGTGCGGACTAAAATTTCAGGGGGTTGGGGCGGACGGGATACTGTTAAAAGTATAAATTTTCTATATAAATTCATTTCGTTCGGGGGGTGGTAGATTTTCTTCAGGGGGGGGGGGGGGGGCTAAGAGATGCCTGGAAGAAACTCTGTTTTTAACAGTCACTTTGCCTTTTTACTTTCTCGTATACTGAGTATAGAGAAAGTATTGTAATCGTACACAAAAAGCACATGAAATTTTGACAGTTTTCACCGTTTTACCAGAGTTTCCTCCAGGCATCTCTTCGTGGGGGGGGGGGGGGGGGCTTTTACCACCCCCCCCCCCTCCCGAACGAAATGAAATTTATATAATTTATATAGAAAATATATACTTTTAACAGTGTCCGTCCCCCCGAAGAAAGTCTACCGCCCCCCCGAAAATTGTAAGTGCCCCCCCCCCCCCACCCGGAGAAAAAGTCTGGAAGAAACACTGCGTTTTACCCCTTAGTACTTCATCATATACGGAGTAAAGGGGACTTATATTAATCTTGAAAAAATCATAAATTCAGATATATCAAAATTTTGTAGTGTTATTTAAGAATATTTGAGAAAGTTATTATTATTTTAGTGTCACACAATTGATGTAGAAAACAATTACATAAGTCTTTTGTTTTAATGCCAAGTAGCAGTCCACATTCTTTATTTCGACTGTATATAATCCAGTAATAAGCTCTTTATATTAGTACCTATCACGTTTGCGGCCTTTTTGTGTCGGCGCATAACGCAGGCCGTTTAGGGAGGGGGGGGGGACAAAATCCGACAATAAAGTATATAAAGTATATTTTTTTGCACTTTGATAGACTAGTGGTTATGTAAAAATAAAAACTAATCGATTGCAGGAGTGATTGTTCTACAGTAACTAAAACACTGTTGCGTAGAGAGAAAAACCTGTATAAGTTGTAGTAAAAAAAAATAGGCAAATCTTTAAACCACTTCCATGACTTATTTTCTCCTTTAGATAGTCGAATCGGGGTGCCGATAAAACTAATTAAAATAGTTTATTTACTATGCGAATTAAAACTATAAATTCTTCTCTTAAGAATTATTAAACTTCAGCATCCTGAAGAATGCCTAAGCTATAAAAAGGAATTAATTCCAAATTAATAGTATTAATGATTAAAAAAAAAAGAAAAGAACGCGGGAAACCATCACACATATCAAGTTTTTTTTTTTATTCATAGTCTTCGGCCGACTTGTCAAATAAGAAGGAACCTATTCATAATTTTAGTTGAGCGTAAATAAGAAATTTAAAAACTTGATTATTCCAAGCCAGAAATGGCTTCGAGCGTATCTTGTGTGATGTGTTGTCTCACGATGGATATATTTTGCTATGAAATGATTTAATTTAGAATTTAGAGAGACAGTATTCTAATATATATATATATATATATATATATATATATATATATATATATATATATATATATATATATATATATATATATATATATATATATATATATATATATATATATATATATGATAAATGATCTCAGGACAAATGATCTCAAAGTCAAATGATCTCACTGACAAAAAATACTAGGACAAAATATATCAGGACAAATGATACAATGGACAAAATATCTCAGACTAAATGTCTCACAGCAAAATTTTAATAGTATGTGCGATGATTTTAGTTGATTTGACCTTTTTTTTATTGACTCTCAATATGTTTTTTTTTTATTTTTTTACCCATAATAATTGTGAATAAAATGAATTTGTTAAAACTTAACAAACAATGAAAAGATACATTAAACTTAATCTTTGTAGTAGCATTTGATTTGAATTAGTAAAAATTAAAACAAACTTACTCTTTTAACCTGAAAGGTATAATAAATGATAATGTATAACACAAATAAAGTAACGATAGCTATACAACATTAATGTTCATATCACGCGAAATATTTTTCAAAAATATGAATGGGTTTTCAGGTCAAACGTTAAACTATTGTTTATATTACATCATCAACACAAACATAACGCTTACGTTTCTTTGCTGGCAGGTACATCGTTATGATAACATCTCTCCAATACTATGTGATCATGTATTGTGGGAACTCCTGCTCGACATGTTCTAACTTCACATTTCCGAACCTCTTTGCCTGCTGCACCACTTCTGGCTTTTATGAACAGAAATTCACCAGAAACTAATGTCTTATACCCTTTCTGTATGGTACCGAAAGAGGCCATAGCAGAGTAATCACCACCAATACTGCTTTGTTTGCATGCACACTTCGACAAACTTAGCTTCGCAATCACCGTTGCCGTTTACATAAGCTTTTGTCATCTGATCGGTGATGTGTGACCGACGCATAACTATTGACTTTAGATGCTATTTGTATTGTCCATGGAGGACTGTTGTCTTCCCCTAAAGGCATGTCTCTGCCATCAAAGTGGGCGGCCACCTTGATACGAAGGTGTGTCTTTATTGCTATTTCATTACTTTGATCTAGTTTCGTCCACCTGACAATGTAGGATTGTCAAATGTTTGGCAAGCCCACCTATGTTGTCTATCGAAAAATTTCTTTAATCTTCGCATACTATATTAGTAATCTTAATGTTAAAATGTTTAGTGCAAAATGACAAATTTATGCGGCAAACATTTCTCACAATTGTTATTGAGGCCTATAAACAATATTAAATATAGTAAATAAGACCATTTGACTGTCAATTAAAAAATGTTCAGATCAACTAAAATCATACAATACACCATTAAAATTTAGCTGTGAGATATTTTGTCTGAGATCATTTGACCGTAATATCATTTGTCCTGATATATTTTGTCCTGGTATCTTCTGTCCGTGAGATCATTTCACCTTGAGATCATCTGTCCTGATATCATTTGTCCGTGAGATATTTTGTCTAAGATCATTTGTCCAGTCACCATATATATATATATATATATATATATATATATATATATATATATATATATATATATATATATACATAAGGGGGCCCGAAAAATTGCGGGGGGGGGGGGGGCGTTTTAATACGTTTTGCCTAGGGCGCTTAATAACCTTTTCAAAATAGGGCAGAGAAATTATGTGAGTGTTATTATAAATTGTAAATTTACATTAGTTGTATTTCAATAGTACTTTGCCTTAGCATATGACCACACGCCTTTATGTTTAGGGATCGTAAAAATAAAATTAAAATTAAAAAATGCAGCATTGACAATGATTTAGTATGTGGTATGATCCAATGGTCATCATGATGGTCTGCTTACGTTCGCTAAAAACGAAAGCTCGTTATGGTTCGGCCACTTCATAGTATCTTCTGGTTTAGCAAAAACTTCCAAAACAAGGAACAGTGGCAGCAAAACACAAAAAAAAAGGCTGACAAAGTAAACAATTGGAAGATGATACAGTTAAGGTAGTGGATGTTAAGTTAGCCTTTCGCGCCTTTGGGGGGACATAAGTTTCCCTTTCAAACCTGACGGTCTATGGGGCAAGTGAAGTAGAGTTCACATGTTTCTGTGACCTCGGCATATGAAGAGATAGTGTGGTCAGCACTATGCCCAGCCGCCCTTTACTTTCCCTAACATAAGTTAGGTACCCATCAGAGTTGGGTGGACTCAGGGACGGTCTACTGACTTGAACCCGGATTCGAACTCGAGACTTACGGGTTAGCAGTCCAGCTCTCTACCGCTAGACCACTCCGTCCTTGGGGGGGGGGGGGGGGGGGGGACATAGGTCGCTGAAAAGATATTTCCGGGCGTCTCTTTCCTGGGTTAGTCTCTCCAACGGTTTGTCGCATTCGAGCAAGTGTCCATTCGGGCGTTTGTCGCATTCGGGCGTTTGTCGCACTCGGGCAAGTGTCTATTCCGAAAAACGGCCTTCGGGGTAAACGGCATTCTGGCAAGTGTCTTTCGGGAATTAGTCGTAGACCCATCAAGCTGCCTCCAGGTATCCAATCTTCTTGGTATATTTTTTTCAGATTGCGCCTCTGGGTCTTCCTTTGTCAGCCTCTTTTCATTTAGCCCTGTTGATTTTAGATGGCGGAGGCCAGAGCGTAATGTATGGGAGATGGTTAAACCCCCGCTTACCTGACAAGTATGATTGACAGTATAATACAGTTTAATTTACCCCCCCCCCCCCCCCACCCATACCACCCAATAAAGTACACTGACCTTGGTCAGCTGTTAAACAAGAATCACTGACCTTCGTCATAGCCTAGCCAGGCATTGGTCAGATCCAGTGCCCGTAACTCCTGTTGCTCCTCCAGCATGGAGCGTATTATGTTGACCAGGTCGGACACGGGCCTGGTGTAGTAATCAACCCCGCCAGAGTAGTCCTTGAGGTACGCGATATTTTTCAGGGAGATCGTTCTAAGTTTGATGCATCTACCCTGAAGCAGACTGGCCACAAACTCGTACACAACCTCTGTCCCCGGGGGTGTACGGGGGCCACGATGCTCCGTGTCAGTGTCATCGAGTTTCTCTGTAATGAACGGTGGTTTGGACATTTTTTTCTCCGGGTGGGGGGAAGGCACTTGAAACTTTCAAAGGGGGGGGGAATTGACTTAAATTTCAGGAAGGAGCGGGGCTCTGGTTAAAATATACATTTTTCACACATTATTTATTTTCTTTTTTGTTCGGGAGAGGAGTAGGATGGGCGCGCTTTTTAGGGGGGGGGGGGTGTTCCCGAAGAGATGCCTGAAAGAAACTCTGGTAATGAAGAAAACAAAAAGTCAAAATCTATTAGCTTATACACAAAATCTATTAGCTTATACAAGGTCGATGACTTAAAAAAAAATATGAATAGAAAGAATAACAAGACCAACGTGAACAGTCGGCGTAGACGTGACGTAGCCATTTTCCTCGTGTCCTTGCAAACAACAGCGCCCTCTTGTCGTCATCCAACGGGAACAGAAAATGTCCAGTGGTAAACAATGCAGGTACGTCTAAGATTGGAACCCACGCCTTACACGTCATGGCTGCGTTAAACTTGTCCCTGTTGCTGAGGTTCTTAAAGATGTCAATTAGGATTTGAAACGGCAGCTGGGTCCACGCACTCTCTGTGGACTGGGTAGGAACATTGGTACATAAGCTTTCCACCTCACATAGCAACAACAACAAAAAAACGTTGGATAATTGCGACTTGGACATCTAAGCACAAAGCCTGGGCAGCAAAATGAGAAAAGGCAGATGTTGCCTATGTACCTGGTCCACTCTCTCTACACAGCTCCATAGACAGGACGTCACCTGTACAATTTGGCATCAGCAGGAACTGCCGAAGGGAATCCAGAGTTGGTAATCTCACTGCCTAAACCTAAGGGACACTCCTCATATTTGATTTCGATAATCTCTCCCCGTCTAATCGATCTCATCTGCCCGAGGGTTTGAACTTGGGACATTAAGAGTTTACAACCACGTGATTACTCGCCCGGCCACTCTGACCCCCTAGTAACATCCTGCGTCCTAACCTTAACTATTAAATTTTAATTAAATTAAAAAAATTGCCGTTTCCAAAGGGGGGTCGCATTGACGCAAACGTTTTGGAATACCAAGAATCAAAATAATTACCGGATAACAGTATAACCCACAAAAAACAATGGTCCTTATTAAACAGATATGGGTTGCAAGAAACGATAACAGATGTTTGTAATGAAACAAAAATGAAACCTGCCTTAAACGAAAGTTTTAAATATCCCTGCTATTGCAAATTTGATTACATATTTTCTAAAACTATTACATACCTATTTTATAAAACTTTAATTTAACTATTTTAAAAATTAAAGTAGAAGTCGAAACGGCTAGTCAAAGATTGAATAAAGAAAAAAGAATGCATACAAAACGTTTTAAGGACAAGCGTTTATGTAATAAAGTACTAATGATTGGGTCCTTCACGTGCCAGCTGGCGTATAGATCTAGATCTAGATCTAGATCTAGTCAACCATTTTAATGGCGTCGAATTTAGATCTCAATCTTGATTGATTCTGCGTTGTTTTGTGCATAGATGGCCTTAATAATAATAATGGTCATAAAAACATTTTAAAAATATGGTCACCTACCATAAATATATCACGATCGCCCATTTTACCCCCACACTTTACTATGATTTATCTTCAAACTTTAAGTTTTTCAGTTTTTCTTGCTGATTTCACAGCCACCATGTTAGATTTAGGAAGTGACGCTCTGCACATGTTTTTTATGACGTTTAACACTTTGCGACTTTTCTTCAATTCAAAAACACTAAAGGCATAATTTATTTAAACATCTTAGAAGCCAATGTCGTTCTTTACATTAAATCTGTACCTCTATCTGCGTCGTATTAAATTTGTTTTCGTATTATTATTTTTTTTACTTTCTTGTTTACAAGGCATAGAGTAGAGAAAGTATTATAATCTTGTAAAAAAAATATGAGTCAAAATTTTAAAAATTTGCAATCTTGATTGTAAATTTGTGTGTGCAAACGAGATACCCTGAGGCTAGAGGACATATTTTCATTTGTAATAAGTAGATCTTATAGATAGGCTCCTATCAAGAATCATTAACGATTTAAAATGACCGGAAATGGTACTTTACTATATTTTAGGTTACTAAAATATTGAAAACTCTAGTACCGTTTTAATTTGGAAGACGAAATTTTATATATAATTAGTAGAGCATATTTGTATGCTTACATCTTTAGGGAGATTTCCGGTAAACGGAAATAATACTTTGTGGTATTTCTGAATTTTCAAAAGCTTTTATAAAAAAATATTATGAAGCAGCATATTCTAAGAACATTCACCCTGTAGTTTTCTAAAAAAAATAATTTATATTAAGCAGGGGCGTAGCGGGGGGGGGGGGGGGGTGCGGAGCGCACCGGGTGACACCATTTAGGGGATGACACCAAGGCAAAAAATAGCAAAATATATAGAGAAAAACTTGAGGGGGGGTGCAAATCGAAAGTTTGAGGGGGGGGGGAGGGTGCAAATCGAAAACTTGAGGGGGGATGCAAATCAAAAGTTTGAGGGGGGGGGGGGGGGGTGCAAATCGTAAACTTGAAAGTTTGTCCCCGGGAAGGGTCGCAACGCCTCTGGGGGGGGGTGACACCATTAAGTGCCGCACCGCGTGACACCCGACCTCGCTACGCCACTGATATTAAGCAAAATTATTGATATATACGCAAGGTTTTAAATAACTATTGTTGCGTGACCTATGCTGTATAAAAATATTGGTATATATACCCAAGGTTGTGCATAACTATTGTTGCATGCACTATGCTTCACTAAGTGCATTCATTAAGACAAACTTGTAATTGATGAAAAATGTGACAGAAACAAATTGTCACTACAAAGTTTCAAAGATATGAGATAAAACAAAAAGATATTTAAAAAAACCGGGTAAACACTGATTAAAATAAGCAGCTCAAATAAAACAAACTGGTAATTTTAGTTTAGTTAATATCGTAATATTGGAAAAAAACTTAAGTTATATGCAATAAAAAAAAGTAAATAAACAATTTAAAATAAAAAAACAGAATTTCCCAAATGTATTTTAGCGATTTGATTTATTTTGTTTAAGGTGTTTTTATTATCCGTGTTTATTGTTTACACATTGATGTCTCTATGAATGCATCCATGCCTCCTACAACCTCAAAACTGTGACTGCAATTGAATGACGGTTTACCTCGCTTCAGATAACTTCTGACCGTTTAAGGTGACCGCATATGTTGCTCTGTAATTGTTTACGGCCTCCGAGATAGCATTTTTGTATTCCTGTTGGTCGGTCTTTAAATCACAGGGCAAGTCTAGAGCAAACTTCTTGAGCCTCTCACTCGTCTGTAATCTGTGAAAGATAATATATATATATATATATATATATATATATATATATATATATATATATATATATATATATATATATATCCCTAGCCCAATATTTCAACAATTCGATGCATGGCTCTGGGATTGTAGGTGTAAGTCAGAGGTCGGCAACCTGCGGCTCGCGAGCCGCATGCGGCTCTTCTGATGTCAAGTTGCGGCTCTTCGGCTCCATGCACAAATATTAATAATTTTTTTTATGTTATTTTCAAAACTCATCAAATTATTGTTCTGCAACACTTGGTAATGAATTAAATAATAATAAATTTAAACAATAAACACTCGCTATTCTATTGGAATATTTAGGTACATCCTATTTTCAATGTACTTCTTATTAAATTGTTTATCCCGCATTGAAACATTCAACTATATGGTGGATATGACAAAGAAACTAAATTAGCTAAATGTAAAACTGCAAGGAAAGGAAAACTCAGCCCATGCCTTGCTTGAGAAGATGATGTTTCGAAAATAAATTACTTTTTTTGTTGAAAACACGGAGAGCGGTAGATTACTTGATTTCGAAAAAACTGAAAAAAAAATTCATGAAACCAATGCAACGATTAGCATGAATTAAAAACGACTCATTTGTGGAGAGGGATATTCACAGAACTCAAGAGTAAGTAAAAATAGAAGAAGGTCCAGTAAAACATGCATGTTACGCTGCACAACTGGACAGCTGTAAAAGAAATATCGCGAGTTGAGGCACTCATACGTGACGCATGGGATAGATTTGTAGGATGGTACAGTAATGTGGAGAAGTTGACATCTGGAGTGCTGATGATCATTAGGTCAAGATATTCGTGCTAGCAAGTGTTCTCTTACATGAATACAACAAAAAGTTAAGTAAGAAACCAACTACCTAATAAAAATCTAGAGTCGTGCTTGAAACTTAAAACAAGAAGTTATGAGCCAGATATAAACAAACTTTCAAACGGCATGAAAGCTCAGTGCTCCCATTGATGTAATTAATGTAAATATTCAATTATTATAGCTATATTATTGGATTACTAATTTTATAATTTTATTTTTTTAGCAGAGCTATTAAAATACTATAATATGTATTGTGCGAAACATGTGTATTTATAAAAAAATATGAATTAATATGATTTCATATTTAAAGCTATATATTATATTATATTATATATATATATATATATATATATATATATATATATATATATATATATATATATATATATATATATATGCATATATATCTAATCCTAAATATTGAACAAAAACGTTTGTGGCTCTTTAAGAACTGGTCAATTTTGTAAATTGCATATTTTGGCTCTTCCGTCGGAAAAGGTTGTCGACCCCTGGTGTAAGTTAAAAACATGAAATTATTCTCATCATTAGAGCATTTATAACAACTTACACGAAGACACTGACACGCATCCTAAGCACTCATGAAACACAACCAGGGCAACCAACTCACCTCTGGAAAAGTTCTCCAATGGCTTCTTTGTCTAGGCGAACTTCTGATATCAATTTGAGGTGATGTAGAGTGGTCTTTAAAAAATACAACACCCGTAATTATTAATTAGTTTAAGATTAAATGTCTATGTCATGGCATAGGGTGGGTGCTTAAGAACAGAGTTTCTTCAGGCATCTCTTCGGGGGGGGGGGCAAAGAAGGTCTACCCCCCACCCCGAAAGAAATGGAATTTATATAGAAAATATAAACTTTTAACAGTATCCACCTACCCCCCCCCCCCCCGGAGAAAAAAGTCTGGAAGAAACACTGCTTAAGAAAGGTATACTGATGTCAAATTACCTAGCGTACATAAGTGTCAAGTCTTAAGGTCAGTGCTTAGCTTTAGTCAAATTAACTTGTTACACGCACTAGCTAGGGTAGGCCTTTGTTGCTGTATGTAGTAGTGGTGTAAACCGAATAAAATTGATTATTTATTTTTACACAATTTTTTAATGAACTTGAAAACCCGTTACTATTTATCACAGTGACATTTTTTAAATCAGAAACAGAAAAAGCGCATCCAAAGTAAATAAACACACATTTAAAAGAAAATCTGATCCAAATATTTCAAGATGAAAATCAAAAATATTCTGTATTGTTAACTGTGATGTGCGCAAGAAAAAAAAATAATAAATTAACCGGGAGTGATATCCCATAAACTTTCTCGAATATTTGTGTATAAAACATCAGGGGATGGCAACTCGGGAAATAGACATGATTTTTAATCAATTTTTAATTACTTAAACTTTTTAAAATAGAATAGAATCTCGTAGAAAAAAAGAATTGCACACCAAGTAAATGCAAAACAAAATGTGCATAATAGTGCGGTATATTATTAGTACTTTTTAAATTACGTTTTCTGAGAAATCGGAAATAAAGTAAATTGCTACTTCCAGTCAACGGAAAACACTCAAAATTTGATACAAGGCAGAGAATTAGATCTTTTACTTACATGTGAAATTTCATCATCTATCTAAATTAAGACTCAATTTATAGGCTTTTGAAAAACTTAAAGTAGAAAAAGTTCCACTTCCGGTTATCGAAAATCGCTTTTTGTTGATACGGATCTACAAATCTATATATATATCTCTATATATAATTCTCTTCTGGGAGACGTTAGAAAACAAGCTGCAAGCGCGCCTTGCAGTCCTCTCTCTTCCTCTCTATCGCTACCACCCCACCCCCCCCCCCCCCCCCCCCACCCCCAGCCCCTCACATGATCAGGTGAGCTGTGGTTCACGGTAAATGTTTACATGTTACAATCGTAGAGCCGGGTTTAGTGACGGCTATTAAGGACAAATAATTTAGTTTGAAACGATTTTAAACTTAGAGGAGGTAACTAAGAGGAGGCTGCTTTCACGGGGGGGGGGGGGGGGAGGGGGAGGCGGGTTTAGTGTTTTAAAGCAAATATTTTCAGTGGCAACATTGGTACTGTCGAATTCACAAATTATGAATTACTGAAAAGTAGAAAATAAAACAACTAAAAAGCGGCGTATGATACGCCAGTAGTATATCAGGTCCCTTTTGGGTAGTATGGTGGTGGTTGAGCCGGATGCGCAAAGGTTATATAGTAAAATACTCCACCACCTGGCCGAGGGTGGTGGTTCGGAGGTAAAATGACATATAGTAAAATACTTCACCACCGGGTGGTGGTGGTGGAGAGGGGTGGTGGTGGTGGTGGAGGAGAGGGGGAGTAATGGCGGGGTGGAGGAGAGGGGTGCGCTAATGTGTACAAAAATAGAAAGTTCTTTGTGCCCCGACTTCCAACATCCATTAACGACAGCTGTTACTCGTTAACGACACCTGGCACGCATCGATCAGCCAGCGAAGTTTTTCCTTTTGACAGGGACCGGGCCGTGATAAATGGGTTTTCTCGCTCGGTTTGACAGCTCAGGTTGATTAATGGTGGTTTACTGAATGCATTTGAAAAGCGAACACCATAGGGGGTATGGTGATTAATGGGAATCCACTAAGTGCTTCTCCGCGAAGCATTTGCCAACATGCGACAGATGGCGCCGCACTTTGGCTGACCAACCGTATAAATGAACGCGAAAATTTTGTTCTAAACCAATTCGACTTCAGACTCCAAACCAAGCATCACCGCTATTTATCCAGCCTGAGACCGCCGTTGACCCGCGAGACTAAACCCACGCCAGCTTAGGACTCAAGCAACACATCAATCTAACCCTCCACGGACCGCCTTCTTTGTATATGTGTTTACGGAACCTTAGCAATTAACATTAAAGGTAAGGTAAATATTACTTTTGTTTTAAAGGCCCTAACCCCCATTAAAATAACCTTTAAATAAATCTTATTAAAATAAGTAGTCACATGTATTTACTTTACTTTTATAGTGCACACCGAGGTAAGGTTAATATTACGCTTGTTTTAAGGGAGCTAACCCCACTAAGTAAAATACCCTTTAAATAAATCTTATTAAATAAGTAGTCACATGTATTCCTTTTTAGTGTACAACAGCTCCATCGACACAGCCGATCCATCCACTGAACCATTGAGCTACCTACCCAGTCGATCCACCTACATCCAACTACATCAATACGGCTCGGACTTAGACGTTCAAACCAAATCGTAGGTAAGTTTAATTTTTAATTTAGTTTTGTTTTAAGTATCCCCACTAAATTTTTTAAAGTTGACAAATGTTTTTATTTTATTTTATGTAATTACTTTAATTTTTATTTTTTATTCTACAGCCAGCGCCCTACCCACTCATCCAACCGATTCAACCACTAGAATAAGATGCAACCCACCCAAACAACCACCCACCAAGCCATGACCCGTAACAAGTGTGACATATGCGACCGGGTATTCACCCGCAGCAACGATTTGACAAGACATCACGACTCTGCACACGGACGACAAAGACATTCGTGTTCAACTTGCGGGAAAGTATTTACACTACTTTCCAATTTAACGAGACACTAAAAGAAAGCGCACAGCAACCAAACATCACCAAGCGACACTCCATCAGCAACCGACAGACAAACCGACCAATCCACATTAGCGACCGATAGACAAACTATCCAACCCCCCATCAGCGACCCAAACCGATCGTACCGCTTCCAACACTAGCCCCTAAAAGCGACAAAGGTCATATGACGACATAGAAAACAACAAACGCGTAAAGACTAACAACGACAGTAACCTTAATTCACACACTGATATTTTTCCTGTAGATGACCTAAGGGGAGATGCGGTAGACTTACACACGACCACAGACAAAGCTTTACCTACATCCTTCTTACAGACATTCCTGACTTTATTAAACATAATCACGCCATTAACATGTTACAAAAGGATTCAAATTCAAAATCCTACACAGACAATTTAATTTCTCCTTTTTTAGATGTTTAACCAGACATTACATAGCACCCGTAAAAGATCTTAGAATTCCAACATTAAATCTCGCGAAACAGTGGCAAGCGCACCAAGGTCTCGGGACCTTGGCTAATTTTAGTGGGGTTAGTTTGGTCGAAATCCCCCTCTTAGAGTCCTGTTTTAGTTTAAACATAGACATTTTTGAATTTAACGAAAATCTGGTCCTTTCTCCGAAACTTAGAAGTAGTGATAGGTTTAGGGAGACCGTGTATCTTTTATTTTTTTCAAAATCAGTTTATGTACATTAATAATATAGGTGGGGCGGGTCACTCTTTCGCGTGTTATATGTGTAACAAATTATGGCCCACCGTTAAACAATTGAACAGACACGTGAAAGATTGTAATGGGGGCAAATCTGTAGATAGGTATAAGGGGGGGGGGGGCTTAATAACACACAGAAAACAATCTGGGAGTTTTTAGCGTCATACGGGGTAGATGTAGATAGTAACTTTGTTTATCCCTTCTGAGCAACTTATGATTTTGAATGTTATTTCGACCATACCAATTTACCCACGTTAGGTAGAGTTACAAAAAGCGTAGCCAAGCAAGGTTCTTTGTCTTGCTCTGTGGCCTCAAACGTAGATGGGTTCGTCGAACCCATCTGTTTTATTTTGACTGGTGACCCCCAAGAGCTAGTGACTAGAGTTATTGACAGACTGCACACAATCGCCGAGGGAGCTTATGGAATATTTAGAAAACAGTTCGATCCTATTTTTAAGCAAATCAGGAAGCTATTTCCACCTAAATCTAGGGGTAGCGATAATAAGTCGAACGACAAAGGGTTTGAAAGGTTTCTTAGCGGTAGATTAGAACAGTATTTGCGACAAATGCCGGTTATAGGGTTTAATTCAGGAAAATATGATATAAATCTCGTTAAACCGTATTTCATTCAGTACTTTTTAGCTTATTCAAATACAGAAGAAGGGTTAGAAGAGGGAACTAGTTGTAACGATGATGAAGAAGACGTAGAAGATAAACAAACACCGTTTAAATATGTAGTTAAAAGAAATAATAATTTCATGTGTATATCAAATAAATTAAAGTTTTTAATACCAAACGGTCACTAGATTGGAATCCCCAAAGGAAAGAGGAAAATAGATAGGCCAAAACAAAAATGGAAAAGATAAGCTCTCCGTGAAGCGGTCGGAATGACGTAGGCCCAGCTTGGATGAATCGCCCAGAGCGGAGGACAAAGGAGAGGTGGGGTTGCGTCCCTGTGCTCCACATATGGTCAACATGATGATGATAATGATGACGACAATGATGATGATGATGATAATGATGACGACAATGATGATGCTGATGATAATGATGACGACAATGATGATGATGTAGATGGTTGTTGTTGCTGATGATGATGTTGATGATGATGATGACGATAATGATGATGATGTAGATGGTTGTTGGTGATGATGATGATGATGATGTTAATGATGATGTAGATGGTTGTTGGTGGTGGTGATGATGATGATGATGATGTAGATGGTTGTTGGTGATGATGATGATGATGTTGGTGATGATGATGATGATGATGGTGATGATGTAGATGGTTGTTGGTGATGATGATGATGATGATGATGATGTTGATGGTGATGATGATGATGAATCAACAGCACTAGCACCTAAAAATGCATCAGTAATTTATGTGTAATTTCAATTATTATTTCAATGCCCCGAAACCGCTGACATGACTAACCTTAAAGTTACAGGAGATGTACTCGAAGCATTTGATTATGTTCTTGACAGCGATAAAACGTCCCGAATTCCAATGTAACCTGTGCAGGGGCATCGATCGCGTCAAAACAATCATGGGTACGGTATCCTCGTAGGACTCCTGAATGAAACAGTTTTACGTGATAGGACAATGACTTGGTCGGTTCATTATAGTAACAGATGCTACAATATCGGTTATAGTTAGAAGGAATATATGGCTGAAGTAGCTTTTAATTGACGTTAATTATTAGGGCTTCTCTAGTCTCGGGTAGTTGAATTTAAATAATCTCTTTAATATTCTGCTACTCCAGACATTATAAAGTCGAGTTATTTTTTAACGTTAAAGTATTCTTTAATATTCTGCCACTCCAGACATTATAAAGTCGAGTTATTTTTTAACGTTAAAGTATTCTTTAATATTCTGTTACCTCGGAGCGACTTTTAGGTTTGATAAAAAAAATCACTTTGAGATCTGGAATGGCGGCTGCTATCTTCTTCCAGGCCGCACTCGAGTTCGGGCGCACGACATTAGCTGTGTATGTGGCCCGAACCTTTAAAACTCGAAGTCGCAGGCCGCCGATTGACGCCTCCCTGAGATCATACAAAAACTCGCAGCTCACACATTCATAGTCAAGTTCCAGCTCTGAAAGACACAGATTATGACGTGAGGTTCCAGCGTGGTGCGCTGTAGAAGGTTTGAAAGCAGGCGTCTTACCTGTTGTGGAACACTTTTGATGAAGTGTGTAATTTCAACAGCAAGGGTAGACTCAGTTACACGGCATTTTTACCTGGACAGGATCCGAACCCACCACTCCACGCTGCACCTTCTTCTTTTTTTTTTCGTTCTTAATTTTTAGTGTTGGAAGGGATCGAGCCTTATCTGCCAGAGGGTTTGAACTCAAGACTTTTTTTTTCGAATTTATCAACCATGAGCTTTTTGCCGACTCGACCACGCCTCCATCACAATTAAGGATACGTGTCAACTGCTTATGCGCCATCGAGGCCATTGACTCCGATTTCAGCCTGCTTTTCTTTTTGGATTTGCTTCCATAGCCTTTGTCCAACCAAGAACACAAGGCAGCAGTTGTTTGATTTTGGAGTTGTCTCTCCTAGAAGAGTGGCTGTCCCCAGCTAACGAGCCCGAGGGTTCGAACTCGAGACTTTTCGGTTTACCGACTCGACCACGCTGCACCGAATCGCCTCGCTTACCAAGCATCTGGTCAGAAGTGCAATCATTACGACCAATTAGCTCTACATCACTATTAAGCAACCACATTCACATATGAACACTTGAATGAAATTTGTAAACTGTATTTACATCCGGTGTTTCATGCACACTTTTTTCTTCGGAGTAGGGGGTGGATGGGAGGGGGGGGTGCACTTGAAATTTTTGGGTGGTAGGGGGCGGACTAAAATTTCCAGGGAAGGGGGGTGGACACTCGTAAATTTATATATTTTCTATGTAAATTCTATTTCGTTCGGCGTGGGGGGGGGGGGGGGCGGTAGAGTTTTTTCGCCCTCCCCCCCCCCCCCACCCCCCACCCTAAGAGGTGCCTGGAAGAAACTCTACATCCAGACAGCAACGGGTATGGGCTACTAGTTTATATAAAACTCAATGTAACGGAGAGTGCTACTCCTAACAACTGGATTTAAATGGTTACTTCCAAACAAAAGTGCGGGGATCAATTCAGGCATCAGCAAATATTTCTCTCTTATTCTCCAAGAAATGCTCCATCTTATGAGAACAACGTGAACGAATATGGATCTAGACGACCTCCGGTATATACAATTTATACATTTTGTAACTACTCGAAACACGTCAACCGCTCTCAGATATAACAAACTTGAAACATAGTTTGAAAACCTGCCAAGAATTTTAAAAAAAAATTACTACTTTCACTTTTTTAGAAATGTAAACTTTCCTATTTCTGTAGTTTGGGATTTTGAGATAAATGATTAGTTCACTAAAATATAAAACATTGTATATTGCGGTGACTTTTGCTCAATAGCCATGTAAATAAAAAAAAACAATGCCATCGAATACGAGTTTTTTTTTTTAAAAACACATTGTCCATTATATTAACCAGATGCACATCAAAACTTGATGGGCTAAAGAACAGAACTCAACACTTCGCGATTGTCCTCGGTTTCTGCCCCTCGGCTACGATTTTCCCAAATTCATGATTTTTTCCCGACAGACAACTCTGTTTTCCCTTGTTTGATAAAAACAATCGTAAATACAATCAGATTCGGTGTTATATTCTCATCATACAACTTTACACAATGATTTCAAAATTCACATGTGAAAAAAAAACGACATAAATAATTTTGGGAAAGGATCATGAAAAATTAATACATACATATAAAAAAAACTAGATGAATAAAAACGTACCAGTCAATTTTTTAAACGAAAATAGAGCTGAATGAAAATCACTTAAATCCGAGTCGCTGTACGTTACTGCCAAAAACCTATCCACGGCAAGTCTGCGCAGAGTTTTCGCACAGGTTGAGCTGGCCTCTTCCAAGAGACGGCAGCCTGCAAAAAGGTTTCATTTATTAGAGCTGTTTGGCGCTTACTTACGTCAGGACTGTGCAAAAAAAGTTTTCCTTTTGAATATAGGTTTCGTGATGCTACATCAGGAATCTTCCGGGCCGGCGCTACCTATAAGGCGAACAAGGCGGTCGCCTAAGGCGCTGTCCGTATGGGGGGGGGGGGGGGCGCAAAAATGTGAAATCGCAATTATTTAAAAGTACCTAATAATTTATAACTTTGATTAGATTACGTTAACTATATACAAAGGCTTAGTGATCTATTTAGGTGCCCAGGACGAACTATCAATTTTGCGCCCCATCTTCAAATTAGACCTATATATAAGTATTCGCGTTGTTGAAAATGCGCCCCCACCTCCCTTATTTGAAAAGGTCGGGGTGCTTTTTAACAAGTGTTTCTTCTCGACTTTTCTCTCTGTGAGGGGGGGGGCACTTGAAATTTTTAGGGGGTGGGGTGCGGACTAAAATTTCAGGGGGTTGGGGCGGACGGGATACTGTTAAAAGTATAAATTTTCTATATAAATTCATTTCGTTCGGGGGTGGTAGATTTTCTTCAGGGGGGGGGGGGGGCTAAGAGATGCCTGGAAGAAACTCTGTTTTTAACAGTCACTTTGCCTTTTTACTTTCTCGTATACTGAGTATAGAGAAAGTATTGTAATCGTACACAAAAAGCACATGAAATTTTGACAGTTTTCACCGTTTTACCAGAGTTTCCTCCAGGCATCTCTTCGGGGGGGGGCTTTTACCACCCCCCCCCCCCCCCGAACGAAATGAAATTTATATAATTTATATAGAAAATATATACTTTTAACAGTGTCCGTCCCCCCGAAGAAAGTCTACCGCCCCCCGAAAATTGTAAGTGCCCCCCCCCCCCCCCGGAGAAAAAGTCTGGAAGAAACACTGCGTTTTACCCCTTAGTACTTCATCATATACGGAGTAAAGGGGACTTATATTAATCTTGAAAAAATCATAAATTCAGATATATCAAAATGTTGTAGTGTTATTTAAGAATATTTGAGAAAGTTATTATTATTTTGGTGTCACACAATTGATGTAGAAAACAATTACATAAGTCTTTTGTTTTAATGCCAAGTAGCAGTCCACATTCTTTATTTCGACTGTATATAATCCAGTAATAAGCTCTTTATATTAGTACCTATCACGTTTGCGGCCTTTTTGTGTCGGCGCATAACGCAGGCCGTTTAGGGAGGGGGGGGGGACAAATCCGACAATAAAGTATATAAAATATTTTTTTTTTTTGCACTTTGATAGACTAGTGGTTATGTAAAAATAAAAACTAATCGATTGCAGGAGTGATTGTTCTACAGTAACTAAAACACACTGTTGCGTAGAGAAAAAAACTGTATAAGTTGTAGTGAAAAAAATAGGCAAATCTTTAAACCACTTCCATGACTTATTTTCTCCTTTAGATAGTCGAATCGGGGTGCCGATAAAACTAATTAAAATAGTTTATTTTCTATGCGAATTAAAACTATAAATTCTTCTCTTAAGAATTATTAAACTTAAGCATCCCGAAGAATGCCTAAGCTATAAAAAGGAATTAATTCCAAATTAATAGTATTAATGATTAAAATAAAAGAAAAGAACGCGGGAAACCATCACACATATCAAGTTTTTTTTATTCATAGTCTTCGGCCGACTTGTCAAATAAGAAGGAACCTATTCATAATTTTAGTTGAGCGTAAATAAGAAATTTAAAAACTTGATTATTCCAAGCCAGAAATGGCTTCGAGCGTATCTTGTGTGATGTGTTGTCTCACGATGGATATATTTTGCTATGAAATGATTTAATTTAGAATTTAGAGAGACAGTCTTCTAATATATATATATATATATATATATATATATATATATATATATATATATATATATATATATATATATATATATATATATATATATATATGACAAATGATCTCAGGACAAATGATCTCAAAGTCAAATGATCTCACTGACAAAAAATACTAGGACAAAATATATCAGGACAAATGATACAATGGACAAAATGTCTCACAGCAAAATTTTAATAGTATGTGCGATGATTTTAGTTGATTTGACCTTTTTTTTATTGACTCTCAATATGTTTTTATTTTTTTTATTTTTTTACCCATAATAATTGTGAATAAAATGAATTTGTTAAAACTTAACAAACAATGAAAAGATACATTAAACTTAATCTTTGTAGTAGCATTTGATTTGAATTAGTAAAAATTAAAACAAACTTACTCTTTTAACCTGAAAGGTATAATAAATGATAATGTATAAAACAAATAAAGTAACGATAGCTATACAACATTAATGTTCATATCACGCGAAATATTTTTCAAAAATGTGAATGGGTCTTCAGGTTAAACGTTAAACTATTGTTTATATTACATCATCAACACAAACATAACGCTTACGTTTCTTTGCTGGCAGGTACATCGTTATGATAACATCTCTCCAATACTATGTGATCATGTATTGTGGGAACTCCCGCTCGACATGTTCTAACTTCACATTTCCGAACCTCTTTGCCTGCTGCACCACTTCTGGCTTTTATGAACAGAAATTCACCAGAAACTAATGTCTTATACCCTTTCTGTATGGTACCGAAAGAGGCCATAGCAGAGTAATCACCACCAATACTGCTTTGTTTGCATGAACACTTCGACAAACTTAGCTTCGCAATCACCGTTGCCGTTTACATAAGCTTTTGTCATCTGATCGGTGATGTGTGACCGACGCATAACTATTGACTTTAGAATAGATGCTATTTGTATTGTCCATGGAGGACGGTTGTCTTCCCCTAAAGGCATGTCTCTGCCATCAAAGTGGGCGGCCACCTTGATACGAAGGTGTGTCTTTATTGCTATTTCATTACTTTGATCTAGTTTCGTCCACCTGACAATGTAAGATTGTCAAATGTTTGGCAAGCCCACCTAAGTTGTCTATCGAAAAATTTCTTTAATCTTCGCATACTATATTAGTAATCTTAATGTTAAAATGTTTAGTGCAAAATGACAAATTTATGCGGCAAACATTTCTCACAATTATTATTGAGGCCTATAAACAATATTAAATATAGTAAACAAAACCATTTGACTGTCAATTAAAAAATGTTCAGATCAACTAAAATCATACAATACACCATTAAAATTTAGCTGTGAGATATTTTGTCTGAGATCATTTGACCGTAATATCATTTGTCCTGATATATTTTGTCCTGGTATCTTCTGTCCTGAGATCATTTGTCCGTGAGATATTTTGTCTAAGATCATGTGTCCAGTCACCATATATATATATATATATATATATATATATATATATATATATATATATATATATATATATATATATATATATATATATATATATATATGTATGTATGTATGTATATATATATATATATATATATATATATATATATATATATATATATATATATATATATATATATATGTATATATATATATATATATATATATATACATACATAAGGGGGGGGGGGGGAGCGTTTTAATACGTTTTGCCTTAGGGCGCTAAATAACCTTTTAAAAATAGGGCAGAGAAATTATGTGAGTGTTATTATAAATTGTAAATTTACATTAGTTGTATTTCAATAGTACTTTGCCTTAGCATATGACCACACGCCTTTATGTTTAGGGATCGTAAAAATAAAATAAAAATTTAAAAATGCAGCATTGACAATGATTTAGTATGTGGTATGATCCAATGGTCATCATGATGGTCTGCTTACGTTCGCTAAAAACGAAAGCTCGTTTTGGTTCGGCCACTTCATAGTATCTTCTGGTTTAGCAAAAACTTCCAAAACAAGGAACAGTGGCAGCAAAACAAAAAAAAAGGCTGACAAAGTAAACAATTGGAAGATGATACAGTTAAGGTAGTGGATGTTAAGTTAGCCTGTCGCGCCTTTGGGGGGACATAGGTCGCTGAAAAGATATTTCCGGGCGTCTCTTTCCTGGGTTAGTCTCTCCAACTGTTTGTCGCATTCGAGCAAGTGTCCATTCGGGCGTTTGTCGCATTCGGGCGTTTGTCGCACTCGGGCAAGTGTCTATTCCGAAAAACGGCCTTCGGGTAAACGGCATTCTGGCAAGTGTCTTTCGGGCATTAGTCGTAGACCCATCAAGCTGCCTCCAGGTATCCAATCTTCTTGGTATATTTTTTTCAGATTGCGCCTCTGGGTCTTCCTTTGTCAGCCTCTTTTCCTTTAGCCCTGTTGATTTTAGATGGCGGAGGCCAGAGCGTAAGGTATGGGAGATGGTTAAACCCCCGCTTACCTGACAAGTATGATTGACAGTATAATACAGTTTAATTTACCCCCCCCCATACCACCCAATAAAGTACACTGACCTTGGTCAGCTGTTAAACAAGAATCACTGACCTTCGTCATAGCCTAGCCAGGCATTGGTCAGATCCAGTGCCCGTAACTCCTGTTGCTCCTCCAGCATGGAGCGTATTATGTTGACCAGGTCGGACACGGGCCTGGTGTAGTAGTCAACCCCGCCAGAGTACTCCTTGAGGTACGCGATATTTTTCAGGGAGATCGTTCTAAGTTTGTTGCATCTACCCTGAAGCAGACTGGCCACAAACTCGTACACAACCTCTGTCCCCGGGGGTGTACGGGGGCCACTTTGTGGTGTGTCATCGAGTTTCTCTGTAATGAACAGTGGTTTGGACATTTTTTTTCTCCGGGTGGGGGAAGGCACACGAAACTTTCCGGGGGGGGGGGGGGATGATTGACTTAAATTTTAGGAAGGAGCGGGGCTCTGGTTAAAACATATATTTACACACATTATTTATTATCTTTTTTGTTCGGGGGAGGAGTAGGATGGACGCGCTTTTTAGGGGAGGGGGGGGGGGGGGGTCCCGAAGAGATGCCTGAAAGAAACTCTGGTAATGAAGAAAACAAAAAGTCAAAATCTATTAGCTTATACACAAAAACTATTAGCTTATACACAAAATCTATTAGCTTATACAAAAAAATCTGTTAGCTTATACAAGGCAGGTGACTTTTAAAAAAATATGAATAGAAATAATAACAAGACCAACGTGAACAATCAGCGTAGACGTGACGTAGCCATTTTCCTCGTGTCCTTGCAAACAACAGCGCCCTCTTGTCGTCATCCGACTGTAACAGGAAATGTCCCGTGGTAAACAAGGCAGGTACGTCTAAGATTGGAACCCACGCCTTACACGTCATGGCCGCGTTAAACTTGTCCCTGTTGCTCAGGTTCTTAACGATGTCAATTAGGATTTGAAACGGCAGCTGGGTCCACGCACTCTCTGTGGACTGGGTAGGAAAATGGGTTCACAAGCCAGAGGCGTAGCGAGGGGGGGCGGGGGGGGGGGACATATGTCCCCGGGCGCCGACCTTAGGGGGGCGCCAAATTGAAAGTTTGAGGGGGGGGTGCAAATGAAAAGTTCGAGGGGGGGGGTGGTGCAAATGAAAAGTTCGAGGGGGGGGGGCGCAAATCGAAAGTTTGTCCCCGGGCGCCGGGAGGGGTCGCTACGCCTCTGTCACAAGCTGATGTGGTTTTTCCTTATTTGGGCCAGCTGTTGCAGATTTCCGTACAATGCAAAGAACTGTAGATATTGTCTTCTACCCGGCTTACGCTTAACTAAAGGGCAGTTCGAATAGTATAATAATTGTATGCATAGTTGTTAAAATTTAAGTGATTATAAAACTTTGCTTCTATGTTTTGTATTACTCTTGTACTAATTCGATCTATTCCCCTCCCCCCTTTAAAAAAAACCTAGATATCATACTACTAATTAGACTATAGGCCTCCTTCGCTTAAAGTTTTAGAACTAGATTCTAATTCTAGAAGCGTACATAGATCTATATGTTTTTATTTTCAATCCCATCTTATGATGCCTCTGACACAACTCATTATTAAAAGAGTTCGCTTTTTAAAATTATCCCACTAATATTTCCTGATGCAACCCCAAGCTAAATCAGTGTGTACAGTCTTGTAGCAGTCTGTTCTAAAATTACGTTCCATTATATAGAAATTAAGCAATACAGCTCAAAGGGAGGCCCAAACTAGATCTAGCTACGCCTCTGTGTCGAAATCTATCACCACTCACCTGCTCTTCTTCGATTTTTCTTTCTTGTGTCCTTGCAACTTTAACGCTCGTCATGTTTGAGTTAGATATGTTGTTTTTTTTTAAAATATTTTCAATATTAAATTTCTACCGCCAATACACTAGAAATAAACACGGTGATGAATTTCACTTTGTTTGATGACGTATTTCTCATAGATCTAGATTCAAATGTACGCAACTAAAGGAAAAATGTATTTGAGAATTTGTTTTCAAACGTAGATCTTGTAAGCTTTAACAAGATGTGTTGGGATAAGCTTTGAGATAAGCACCATATTCTACATAACGTCGGTGTATGCCCTAAGCTGTAATTAAGCTTCAATATATGCCATATACTGCTCAGATATCTTTGGAAATACTCTATGCTGTACATCTATCTATCTATCTATATATATAATTCTCTTCTGGGAGCCGCTAGAAAACAAGCTGTAAACGCGCTCCCTACCTCCCCACCCCTACATGGTTTTAGTGAGCTGTGTTCACTCTAAATGTTTACAAGCAGAGCCAACGATTTTAAACGTAGGGGGGGGGGGGAGAAGGAAGGGAGGTTATGGTCCTTAACGAGCTACTTATAGTGTTTTAAAGAAATATTTTCAGTGTCAGCGTTGGTACTGTCGAATTCACAAATTATGAATTACTGAAAATTAGAAACAACTAAATAGCGGCGTATGTTATGCCGCGGGCCGGCTCGTATATATATAATTCTCTTCTGGGAGTCGTTAGAAAACAAGCTGCAAGCGCGCCTTACGGTCCCCTCTCTTCCTCTCTATCGCTACCACCCCCACCCCCTCACATGGTCTGGTGAGCTGTGGTTCACGCTGTTTACATTTTACAATCATAGAGACGGGTTTGGTGACGGCTATTAGGGGCAGTTAATTTAGTTTGAAACGATTTTAAACTTAGAGGAGGTAACTAAGAGGAGGCTGCTTTCACGTGGGGGGGGGGGGGAGGGGGGTTTAGTGTTTTTAAGCAAATATTTTCAGTGGCAGCATTGGTACTGTCGAATTCACAAATTATGAATTACTGAAAAGTAGAAAAAAAAAAACAACTAAATAGCGCAGAGGCGTAGCGATGGGGGGGCAGGGGGGTACATATGTCCCCGGGCGCCGACCTTAGGGGGCGCCAAAATGGGTTGTAAAAACAAATAAAAATGTAATTTTAGCTGCATTTTTGCATTATAAATAGTTTGGCGGGGGGGGGGGGGGGGTGCAAATCGAAAGTTTGAGGGAGGGTGCAAATCGAAAGTTTGAGGACTGCAAATTGAAAATTTGCTCCCGAGGGGGGCGCCAAATTGAAAGTTTGTCCCCGGGCGCCGGGAAGGGTCGCTACGCCTCTGAAATAGCGGCGTATGATACGCAGCGGGTCGGCTCGTATATATAATTCTCTTCTGGGATCAGTTCGAAAACAAGCTGCAAGCGCCTCCTTGCAGTCCCCTCTCTTTCTCTCTATCACTATCACTACCACCCCCACCCCCCCCCCCACATGATCTGGTGAGCGGTGTTCACTCTGTTTACATTTTACAATCACAGAGACGGGTTTGGTGACGGCTATTAGGGGCAGATAATTTAGTTTGAAACGATTTTAAACTTAGAGGAGGTAACTAAGAGGAGGCTGCTTTCACGTGGGGGGGGGGGGGGTAGTGTTTTTAAGCAAATATTTTCAATGGCAGCATTGGTACTGTCGAATTCACAAATTATAAATTACTGAAAAGTAGAAAAAAAAAACAACTAAATAGCGGCGTATGATACGCAGCGGGTCAGCTCGTATTACATAAGAGAGCTAGGCTGTGTAAAAGCTTTGATATAGGGATACGTTGTATAGAATTTAAGATGTGGCTTAAGCTGTATAGAAAACTTGGGATATGCCATAGACCAGGGGTTCCCAACCTTTTTTTTTTACTCTAGAGCACATTCTAAAATATCGGTAGGGTGGCGGGCACCACCCATTTTAAATCGACAAACTCCTTCCAGAGGCGTAGCGACCCTTCTCGTCACCCGGGGACAAAACTTTCCATTTGCACCCCCCCCCCTCCCTCAAACTTTCGATTTCCATCCCCTTCAACCTTTCAATAATGTATATGAAAAAAAATCTGTCTCTGTCGAATAGTGAGAGGCGGGCACATACGAATCGTTCGGCGGGCGCCATGGCGCCCGCGGGCACGGGGTTGGGAACTCCTGCCATAGACTATATGGATTCTCTGGGATATGTCTTGGCAGGCCGTGTCCCAGAAAAAAGCGCAAACAGAAAACTGCGCAAATGCAAATTAATTATATTATAATACACTTTAATTTTGTCAAATTTCGGGTAAAACTGTTTTATCATGCTAAAGTGTACTTGTGGTAATTCTTTGCTCATGTCTAGCAATGCTCGATTCACGAAAACATAAATGGCCTTTCCCCACTTTTTGTGCGCTGTTTTCTGTTGCGCATTTTACGTTGCGTATCTTTTCGGTCAAGCCCTAGGCCATGGGCTATATGGAATAAGTAGGATTTGCCATATACAAAGCTCTTTCGCACCACACTTACCACACAAGTTGGACTTTGGGAATGTAGTTTTAATACTTTTAGATTTTCCCCAGTGTTATCAAAATATTAATATTTTAATCACAAAAATGATTATGTGTTTGTCATCTCTTTTTTTGTTTAATTTTAAAATGTTTTTAGAATATTTTTACAAATTCTGCGCGTGTTTTTGCAATTTATACTTAGACAAATAAATATTAGTTCCTATATACAATATATTAAGATAAGTAAATAGAAAACAACTTAATAACAACAAAATTTTAAATGCATCGAGAAAAAAAAACTTTCTTTCTACAATAGTAGTTAAAGCGTTGATCGCTAAAACGTAATAGGTAGGCTATTTCCATGAGTGACCAATTGAAAAAAAAATAGTCATATAAGTCTTTGGCCATAGGTTGTTTTACTTTGTCGTCGACATTTTTATATTACGAATATAAAATGAGTCGATATCAATAAGTTGTAGAAGTTAGGATCGCGAGGGTTGATGGTAAGTAGTGGGCGTCGAGAGCGGTGGGTGAAGAGATCTGGAAGGCGTTTGTAGAAGAATGGTGACTTGGAGTGCCATTGTATCAGTCCATTCCCACAACAACTGTAATCAACGATGACGCTAATCCTATGTTAAAAATGTAAACGGTTAAGGTTTTTGGATTTAGGAATATGTTTTTGTGAGTGTGGAACTGAAAAAGAGTGTTAAAGAATTTCGTATTAGGGGTATGTGGAGTTTCTTAACACCCCCCCCCCCCCCCACGCTACGCCTACACCACTGATTATATTTGTGTAAAAAACTTCTGACGACTTTAAAAAAAATAAGGCTGGTGCTCGTACACCAGTCTTGCGTCTAGTTAGCTCAGATGATTAAATTCTCTAGGTTTGACGTTAGTAATATTGCATCAACTTTTACAACCAGATAAATAGTAAACTGTTATTTTTGTTTGCTTTGCTTATTATACTTTTTTTTGTCTGTAGCTTGTTTCGTTTTCAAATTTCCTTTTCCTGTTCTTTTTATTTACAAACGTCTACGCATGCGTGAATTGTATTCTAAGATGGCGTCAATGGTGAATAGTAAATGTGTTGATAGTTTTCAGGAAATATAATTTTAACTCTTTACATGTTTTAAAATGGACAGCACTGATTCATTAATCGACCCACAATCTGAAGTTAAAAAACTTCAAGAACTGGTAAAAAAACTAGAAAAACAAAATGAAGTCCTGAGAAGCAAACAAGCTGGCGTAGGCACCCAACAGAACGGAGAGTACGATCGAGTAAACAAAAACAACAATTTAAATGACGACGAAGAATCCATTGACATTACAAAAGTTAAATTCAAAGGAAAATTAGCTCTAGATGACTACGAAGATGTCAATTTTTCAGATCTACCGGTTGAAGACGATAGTTGGTAGGTATTGGCCTCTGCATATTTCTCAATATTGAGTCAATTCTGCCTGTCTAAAAAAAAGTCTTAGTCAGACAGTTCCTTTCTTTCCTTTTTTTTTTTTTTTTTAAATTCAAGACTGAGAATCTTACCAGTTGGACTGGAGAAGTCCATTGATGTTTATTAACTAGTTCAATTGTTATGGCCTAATTAATAATTATGCTAAACTATACATCAAAGAAGGTCATGCTGATGTTTAACAGCAGATCTATTATGTTTAGCCCTATCACTATCAGGAATGATCGATCAAGACAGTGGTCACAGAGTGGTGGACAGAACTGAAATCATGACCAACGATTTATTTAGCCAGTCATACTAGAATTCATAATTTACTTAGTATGTCTTTGTTCGTGAAACATCCGGTTAATAATAATGATATGTTGGGTTGATTTGATGTAGGCCTATGTCTCTGGGCCAAAGTAAACAAAAATGTTGTAAAACATTCCTAAATTTCTTCATTTTATTCAAGTGTGTTGCCATAGGTATGAGGATAGGATAGTTTCAACTTCATTTCATAACAGTAGCCTAGGTATATTGGTTTGTAACTTCTGGGGGTGTTATTTTCCACTTCATGCTAGTAGCACATTGTAAAGTATTTATTAAGCTAATTTCTGGAGGAACAGTGCTTTTATAGCAAAGTATTGTCCTGTCAGTAGACCAGGCAGTGATTTAAATAAATGTTGTTCAAAAAGACAGCTATGGTGAACGTTGCTCTTTATTTTTCAGTTTTAGTTTTAGTCTAGTTAAATAGATTATGATTAATAATAATACATTAGTTAAGTATTAGGCCTGCTACTTAATTTATAAATATTGGCTAACCAACTATGTACTATAGGCCTAATTACTAACTATAATTCTGATCACAAACAAATAAGCCTAATAGTTCTGTCATTCATGATACATGACACCATTAAATTGTTATCTGATTTTAATTGCAACAGTTAGATGTGGCTTAGTACTGGAAAAAAGTGTTTAAGAAATCAATCAGTTGACATGATTTAGGCCCATTCATTTTTTATTTAGGTCAGGTCATGTGTAAAAAAAAATTTAACATTTGCTAACTTTCTTCATATGTACTGTTTTTATTGCATTTTTGTTGAATGATAACTTTTACTAATTCATATCATTCTAATAATATATCTATACATTTACTCGTATCTCCATATTTTTATTATTATTTATTTTTAACTTTTTGCTTTTTAAAAAAATATTTGCTCTACCCATAGGACTATTCTTTTATATTTGTAAAATTGGTTTGTAAATTTTGTTTTCATTTGATTGTTTCCTTGTAAATTTATCAAAAACTTATTTTTAAAAGAAAATATTTACTCAGTACCGTTCAACATTTTTTTCTCTCTCTAGGTTGTACTCATCTCCTAAAGCAGTAACTCCTCAGCAGTCCAAAGAACAAATTATATCCTGGGTGCGACAGGACTTTGACCACCCGAGTCCAGAGGTTCAGTCATCTAGAAGAGCCCTTATAAGCAAGTTGGATGAAGTGGCCCGAAGTAAGAAAGTCCCAGCTATAGATTTATTTTAACATGGCTACCCCTGACAATCTTGTAGAGCCATTATGCTTTGCTCTACAATCAAAGATGCTTTCATCTTCTAGTAGTATCACTAATCTTAACCAAACCAGAATATTTAGTTATTATAACATAGCATAAAAGCTAGGTTATGAGCCACCATCTTTGTAAGATTAGATAAGTACCGTTTTGAGCCTTGAAGTCCATGGGGCAGGTGAAGTAGAGTTCACTTGTTTTAGTAACTTTGGCAGGTGAAGGGTTTAGTGTGGTCAGCATTATGCCCAGCTACCTTTACTTTCCCTAATGTGAGTCTGGTACCCATCAGAGCTGGGTTAAGTTAACTCAGAGACATCATACGGACTCGACTGCAGGATCTGAAAGCGAGACTTTCAGGTGAGCAGTTGAACTATTTGACCACACCGTGCCAAATCGTTACCAGATTAATATGCTGAAAATAGTTTTAAATGTCAAAATATCTAAGTAAGAATAATGTACAATTAATAACTTTTCTTACTTTGTTAAAGATGAGTATTTATAATAAACCAAACTTTGAAAAATCTGTTTAGTGAAACACAGTTCCAGCTCACCAGTCATTGGAAGCCAGCCTTATGCAAGCAGATCAGCCTTTGCACTTAGTCGATCCACAGAAGAAGGAAACAATGCACCACCACCTATTAGAAATGCTGTGCCCAGAAAATCTGGGCTTGCACCGCCAGGTAATTTTAAATTTAAAAAAATATTTTAACTTACATTTTATGACCAGAGGTTTGAAGTGGTTAAGTCTTATTTATTATTACGGATAAAATTGCTATATTCATTTTGAAAAAATGGTCCATGCTCAAAACACTTGGGGCAGATGAAGTAGAGTTAATTTGTTTCATTGACTTCTGCATAGTGTGGTCAGCACCATGCTCAGCCAACTTGGTTACCCTAACGTGTCAGGTACCCATCAGAGCTGTGTTGACTCAAGGCTGTATTTGCAGGCTTGAACCCATGATTCAAGCTTGAGACTTTTGGTTTAGTAGTTGTAAGAAAAATGCAATAAACAATTAAATATTTAACCTATGGTTAAATAACTGTTTACACAGTTCTTCAGAATGTGTTAAAAAAATATCAACCATGAGAAAATGGGGGTTGAACTGGTTTCATTGTGTGCAGGTTCTGGAAAAATGGCTTTTGATACAGGTACTTTTACCAGACCAAAGAGAGTGAGCGCTCCAATGCATGGCGAGGGAGACCAGCCCCAGGAACCAATTACGATACCCAGCACCACAGACATCAGTGAAATAGAGACTCTGGCCAAGCAACAGGAAGAGAGTTAGTTTTTCACTTGTTCTTGTTTGTGATGTAGTTGGTTTGTAGACTGATGTTGTAAGTTTAGAGTAAAATTGTAAGAATCTGTTGCTCTGCTCTAAGGGTGGATCTAGCAGGGGTGTAACTTTTCCTAATTTAAAAAATTATTTTTTCCCTTTTGAAGTAAATATTCTACTGCGTAAAATGGTTACATTAAAAAGAAACCCAGTAATTTCATTTTAAATTACCCTAACATTTAACTGAATGCAATGTCTCCTAGAAAACCTGCATGTGCTTATATTTTTTAAAATGAAAAGTAGCTAAGCACCCTGTGTCTAGCGTGGAAAAATAACCTTTGTTAAATCTCTCATCAGTTCCAATCTTATTTTTAAGATTGTAATGTTACTGTACTAGCTGTGGTGAGATGAAAAAATAAATGAAGCACCTTTCAGTTCAGAATTTCATGTTTTATATTTAAATGGTAGTTATCTAGAATGTCATCCAACATGGTTGTTTCTAATGTTGGTGCCCCATTCATTTGGCTATTATTTACAAAATAAATTTAAAATGAATAGATAGTAGGCCTACTTCACTGACAGTTTTTAAGTTAGAATTAAATATTATATTTTCTATACCTTCTTAGGTCTTCGGCAAAGCATAACACCTGCAAATAGAAAAGGTAACTCAAAGCTTAGAAATTATTTACCACATTAATTATGATTATGTTTTAATATTGTAAACTTACCTCTTGTAATACATTGATTGAATATAGCTAGGTTGAGAAAATATATAATTGCAATTTATTATAAATTGTTTTAGCTATGAGAGCAAAGCAAGCATTGATGGAAGGGGAGAATGGTACAAGGCTGAGCCCTAGTCGATTTGACTGTAAGTATAGTTTAGTTTAGTATCAATCAACAGCTGTACAAACTGCACATTGAAAGAAATTGGTAGATATTAATATTTGTGCAAAATAACAAGGTTATTCACTGGATAGAGCATGTTAAGACTGCAAATTAGAGATGCGACACATTTTAGTTTAGAAATGTTTATTTATTATCTTAAATAATTTTCTAATATTGGTGTATTTTTTTGTTTGTAGTGGAAGGTGCATACATTTCACAGCACAGAGGTAGTTTGGGTTCTGATCATAGTACACCACCAGACAGCCCACATAATAATCAGCATTTCCAGCTAAATAATGTCAATGGTAAGTTGTGTGAGCTTCACACAAGATAGTGGGGGGGGGGGGGGGGCTTGTGATGACAAATTATTGAGATAGGATAATTAAATTTATTCAAAAAACAAAAGTTTTAGAGGAATCTTGAAGAATTGTTGTATGATGTAATAATAATTTGACTCGTGTATATGTTTAAACAGTACATATACATTTAAAAATTATAACTATTCAACTATTTATAATTTTCTGTGTTATGCTTTTTGTTGTTCTTGTACTTATTTTGTCAAGATACAAAATAAAAAACATTTTAATATTTGGTTGTTGATTTGACAGATTCCAGAGGACGTCGCAGTCTCCCGTCAACCCCAGCCCTCCAGTACAAGTCCCACAACTCCTCCGACTCTAGCCTGGAGCGCCACAGTGTCAACAGCGACGAGATGAACCTGGCACCTGAAGCCAACAGAACAATGTCGTCAAGGCTGCAGCAGCCCAACTACCGACCCAATGCCAACACGCCTAAAAGAGCAATATCAACTGGACTGCTGCCCGGGCTGGCCCAGCAACAGCAACAACGGGGGATGTCCCCGCAGCGCACATCTGGTCTACCCACCCCAAGAAGACAAATAATGAGACCTTCGTCTGCTTCAAGGTCATCTTTACCTACGTTTAGAAGGTTGGTGGATTAATTGTTCAATAAGATTGTTTCACCTTTATCTGTCAGTCATCTTTACCTACGTTTAGAAGGTTGGTGGATTAATTGTTCAATAAGATTGTTTCACCTTTATCTGTCAGTCATCTTTACCTAGAAGGCTGGTGGATTACTTTTCAAATAAGATTGTTTCACCATTCAGGTTGTATTTAGATGTAGTAATGTTTCCTTTTGAGTGTGATGGTCCATGGGTCAAGTGAAGTAGAGTTCACCTGTTTCTGTGATCTAGGTATATAAAGGGATAGTGTGATCAGCATTGTGCTATGTGGACTCATGTGTTACATAGACTTGAACTCTAGGCTTTTGGGTTAGCAATCAAATGCTCGACCATTTGAACACATTTCTTTCGATAACGTGTTATAGGAATATGCTATAAAATATGAGCCTATAATTTGTACATGATAATATTTATTATTCAAATGTTTAACAGATAGATAATTATTATGCATTTATTATTAACAAAATTTACATTGAACTTGAACTTTTCCTCAGGGCCAATGCAGCGTCGCCCAAGCCTACAAATGGATTAGAAGAAAATTGGAGAGATGGCTGCTTTTGATCATGCTGTCTGTGTGCATGTGTAAGTGTGAGTGTGTGCTGTACAAAGCAAACCATTGACAGTAATCATCATGTGATATTAGATTAAGTTGACTACTAGTTGAGTGTGCAGATGGTGTCCTGAAAATATTTTTTTTTTAACATGTCTCAATGCAAATATGATGAAGTAACTCTATGTGTCTGATTGTCTCTCTTGTACTACTAACCTATAAAAAAATTGGTTGGGGCTAATGAAACTACCAAGTGCCGAATTGACGTTTATCATTGATTCAATTCTGTGATTTTTATTTTGTTTTGCTTGCACAGATAGGCATTTATACAATTTTTATTTCTACTTGTAAATATTGCAAAACAAATTTTGCATAAAAGAAAAATAAAGGAGATAGTAGCATTTTTTTCATTGTGCTTGTTACGCTTTTTATAAAGTGTATAAAATCGTCATAATGTTTGATTTAAAAAATAAAATTGAAGTCAAGACAAATAAGTTACTTCTTCGGTACATGATTTTAGTTTTGGCACAATTTGAAGCAATTTTTGTTTGTGTTTTGTTCAACTCTCTTTATTACAACAAGGTCAGTTGTACTGTTTTTATAAGTTGAGTTGGTATGTCGTTGCGCATTTTTGGTGAGTTTATTCTGTTTTAAAGAATCTAACTAGTTGCCACAACTTTATGGCCTTGTTTGTAGTTCTGTTTTATTCCTTATCACTTGTATGTCATGTCTCTCCTTGTTTTAAAACAGATCATTGTTACGTTAGAAAAGCTAAGAAATGTTAAATAGTAAATATTAAAGTAAAATTCTTTTTTGTTGTCCTTGAAGTTTATTTTACATTCTCAGCTTCACTGATACAATAAAACATTTTTTGTTTGAAAAGTTTTCTTTCCCTTTATAATTAAGGACCTGTGCCCAAAGGTCAGAATGTTATACAATTGTTATGTAACAGGAGAATAAACAATTTTCAGTCAAGATTTTTGGGCATTTTTATTGTTGTGATTTAATTTTTGTCTCAGAGTAGTCTGTCCTGTAAAGTGAGTTATCTAACTTTGACTTTACTTGATGTAAAGTAAAGTGAACCGGCTGGAGGTAATTTTTTTTTTTAAATTCTGTATCCTTAACTGATTAAAAGGAAGTGAGATCTATGAGTAGTATGAGCGAAAAAATATAACCATCAGTCAACTAATAATGTTTAATAGATAATTCATTAAAATTAATAAAATGACATATGCAAGATTTTTATGATGAATTTTTTTTTTAACCAACCGATTCATATTAATACACAGATTTTATGATAAGCCTGCATTTTAATAAGTAACTTTAAGTGAAGTTTAAAGTGTAATTAATTAGTAGTTTTCTTTTTTTTTTTTTTTTTTGTTGTTGTTCAAAACAACACAGTCTCAATGTTTGACTTGCCATTAAACTCTTGCATTTAGACTCACAATCCTTGCCCGCACAGTTGGTAAACAAAACAAAATGTCATTCATGATCTGTTGTCATTTTTGTTTAGATTCTATAAAATTAATGTGAATAAAGCATCATAATTCTATTTATTTAGAAGTATTACATTCAATTGTATCAAATAATTAATTTAATTTATTACACGAATTCTTTAAAAATCCATTAGTTATTGTTGAATCTACAACTTTTTAATGTGTTATTGCACAGCCCAATGCTGTTAGTTTTAATTTTAATTTCAACCTTATAACTGCATATTTTCATCCAATATTCATATAGATTTAAATAAACTACACTTCTGTTAATTAGTTTCAGTTTTGTAGCGGAAATTGTCTCAATATTGGCCTTAATCTATGAATTAAAATAGTAAGAATAAATTCTAATGTGGCTTTGATTCTGAATTAAGAAAAACATAGCTAAATTTAAAAAATTATTAATGTGCACTAAAAGTGCATATTTTGCGTAATTTGACTTTGAAAACATTTATCAGAAAAAATGTTTTGGATGTGGCTTGATCAGTACGCGCATCTTATTGTGTTGTGCATTAAGATTTAATTACGTTTGAAAAATGCTAAAAATATCCTAATTTGTATATGCAGTTAAGCATACAATGTTGTGTGAGAAATAAGTGCTCACTTTAAGTACCTACGTGTTATGTGGTTAACATATTGTTTGTACATAATAAACTGCTAAATGTTTTCAAACACCTGCAAACTACCTGCAGAAATGAGAAAATACTGAATGCGCTTTCTCAATCATTCTTCTGTCACAAAGATATTTGCTAATTATATTAAGTATGGTGTGACTGATTGATGTGGAAATCTGTTTGTAGAAAAAAAACGAGGTGCATGTTATTTTAATGTTTTTGTGGGAAAAACCCGATTTCAAATTGTCCAGTTTTAATTTAAGTCGTCTAATATTAAACCAACATCAAATGACAGTGTTCTAATCTGGTTTCTCCTATCTGTAACATAGTTTGTGGATTGCAACATGAAGTTACGAATGTACATATTTTTTTTTTTCAGTTTTCAATGTTCCACGCACTTTAACGATCTCATTTTATTTATTTGTCGTGTATGTCTTGCTGTACAGCAGGTGCCTTTACTGCAGGGGAAACAACCCTTCCTCTAATTTATTCAATCCAGGTGTGTTAGTGGTCTAAATTAGTACCTGCCAGTGTAAAAATAAACTGCATTTGATAAATGTTGTGAGATGCCAAGTTCCATTTACATGTGTTATGGTTTAGTTATCATCAGATGTGTGTAAAGTACTGAATCAATTTTTTTTTCAGTACATCTTGTTTTACTACGCTTTTTTAGGCTATTATGCTTATTATTATGCTAATTTCACATATAATTTGAAATATTTAGAAAATAACCAGTACTTTTTACTATTTTTAAAATGAATACTTACTCAAAAATAAATATTTACATAAACATTTACTAGTACTACCAAAGCCCTTCTTATAAAAATTGCTTGTAAAATTGATATTTTGAAAGATTAATGCCAGTGCTATTTAATTAGTTTATAATTAGTTCATCCCCAGTCTAGTTTAAAAATTTTACAAGATGGTTGTTCAATTAACACAAGTCTTTAAAATAATTGTAGTTCATATGATTGTTTTTCCTCTAAACTAACTTATTAGAAGTTCATCAATTAGATTATTGTATTTAAGTGTTCTATTTTTTGTGCATTCGCAAAAGTCAGTTGTCTGCACTTCTGATTCCATATCATTGTACTCAATAACAATACCCCTGAGCTGTTTTGTGTTAAGGGAAACTACTGCACAATTCATAGAAGTCACACTCTTTTTTATATTTCATTTTATTAAATGATCCGTTTTGTATAACGATTATAGTTTTTCTAGAATTTTCCTTGAGTTTTTATTTTATCTGTTCTAACTTGATATTTTAAAAAACAAAACCCACTTTATTTAAACAATGAAGGTATAGTATCTGTTTCTCATTTTTTTCTAAAAGAATATTGAGTTTAAAAAAAATTCATTTCAAATCAGACTATTTAAGGTTGATAATGAAAAAAACCACAGGCTAAACCAGTGAATTATTTTATTGTATGCAATGTGCTGTGTTAGCTTTAGTGTTAGTGATTAGTGCATCATTCCAATTTCTATAGGCACAGTATTTAAGAAGTTGTATCAAGGGTTATAACTCATTTTCCCCCTATATTTTCCAACTGGTCATGGGGAATTTAGTTTGGTATATTAAAATTTTATGGAACAGCAGAAATTGAAGGTTAAAACAGGAAGTTTTCTAGTAAAATTGATCTATTAACAATCATTGATTGAGAAAAACGATTTGATCAAAATGGCTATAAAGAGAAATGTCTGAAATATGCATACTAATTTTTCTTTACGATAACTTTTTTCTATTAATAAAGACAGAAATTACATCATAATTACAATAAACTGTATTTTTTTTGTTTGTTTATTTTATCATCCAGTGATCTTTATGAGGAGCCATGCCATTGTTTTTTTTCCTAACAACTGCATATTCTAGTGCAACATTTAATAACAGTGGTCTCGTAAAAGAAAAAATATATAAGTGGTATTTGTTTTCTTAGTGTGGTTACTTTGAGAGTGGTTTTAACATTTGCCTATTTTGGTGTCTTGCTTTTTGTTTAGGATTTCCATATATTTAACTATTGATTTAACAATCGTATATATACTTGCGTTTGTGTGTATGTTGTGCCTGTATATACTGACCGAGCCAGTACTATGGCCATTGTATAGACGGAGTGCTAGAGTGTAAATACTGATTCAGTTTCAAGAATTTAAAATTAGAATAACTTGATAAAGTGAAGACATTTTTTTTATTGAAACTTTAAAACAATTGTTATAGCAGAAAGATAAATTAAAATACATAGTGGGTTTGTGGAAATAAGTTTCTTCATGTCCATAATAGTGGGATAATTTAAGTGTGAGGGTACTTTATTTCTATATGAAGCATGCAGATGAGTTATTTAGCCTTTACACATGCACTTATGCATACAAGCACACCCTTATTAGTCTGCATTCTCTACATGTACATGTAAACACATTTACATATGCACCACTGTATGTACACACAACCTTGCCCCGTAGTACACATACACACCTACTGACACACTGACCTTTTTGTTTTAACTTATCTAGTATATATATAACAGTAGTGCAATATAGAAACTATAAACTATAATACATCTGATACAATATAGTGTCACTTATCTATTATTAGGCAGGGCTATAATATTTAGGCTTTCTTTATATCTAGCATTTTATTTTCATAAAAAAATATCAAACATAGTTTATACAATTTAAAACATATTGCTTTTGCCATGTATATTTTTGTATATTATCTGCATAAGGTAAACGGTAGTGGATAGTAAACCAATGGACAAAAATGAATGCAATATTTATATATGCATTGTACAGGGAACTTTAAATTGATAGGTTGTAAGCAATGGATGTATTTTTGTTGCTGTTTCGGCAATTGACTATCATATTGTAATTATCTTTGATAACTGCTAAGCCATGGATTGGTTTCACGAAATAAATGACTTGCTTGAAATTTTTTAATGGTATTTTGTTGTTTGTGTGTGTGTGGGGGGGGGGGGGGGGAGGTTAAATAAATCAGTAATGCTAGATACTTTAACATATTATTATTAACTTCATTGAGAGTACTGTGTTTTAAAACATCAAGGGAATTAACCAGATAAATTATCATTTCTATAATTATCATGGTTGCGTCCCTTTGAGTAATACATTCGTCGATTTTATTTCTGAGGACGGTAATTGTAATGTATTTATTATTAGCATAGTGCTGACGATAATATCCCTTCATATGCCCTGAAACAGATAAACTCTACTTCATCTACCCGATGTGTCTTGAGTACAAAGGGAAAAGATGATGAGGTGGTTGTATTTTTTTTTGGCAAAATATTGAAACAAAAATAATACTCTTCAATAGAAATTATACTTGAGATCAGTTCTGCATAACAAATGATTAACCCAAAAATAATTACGCCATAACGTAGGTGTGACGTCTCTTTAGGCGGGGGGGGGGGGGGCTTGAGGGGGTCTGACGTTTTTGTGAAAAGTGGAAGGGGGCAGGTATAAAATAATATTTTATAAAGCGTGACGTTTGTTGAGACATGAACCCTTAGGTGTAATTTTTTTAAAACACGGGATTAATCCTGGGTACCAGTTGACAGCTGCTGGTAAGTGACTGATATGTTGTGAATTCCACCAGACAGACACGACGGGAGGGGTGGGGATGGATTAAATGACATCCGTGCAGATTATCTACCCCCCCCCTTTTACCCGCTATCAAGCTATATGCAGTTTATGGTAACCCCCCTCCTCCAACCCCCATGACATGTAATCCCCTCCCCAATACCAATGTTGTATTCGTTATTATGTTTGTTTTTTGACGTCTTGTTCTATAGTTCAACGTACCATTTAGGTACGATAATCTGATTATTACCATGAAGCCAAGGTTACGGCGAAGACTGCGCAACAGCCTAATAATTATTGCATGTACATAATACAAAGGGAGATAATAACTTGCAGAGTACACGAGTTGTCGTCCGTTGATAGACTAAACAAATAATGAATGAGCACTATCGTCACGAACTCACATCAAACAATGGCTCCATTAATAATAATGTAATACTACCCCGGGCTCGTAAATTGCTCCGACATGTCGGAAAATTTCCGCCGCATTTAACCCTGCCAGTAATTATGATATTACAAGCACGTACGGATCGTAGTCAGCTAG